AGAACCTGGATCTTGGGCAGTCTGTCTAGCAAGAACCAACAACACTCATCTTCTCCAAAGTCCGACTGCGTCGGCAAACACCACTGAGCAAACTGCCTAATAATTATATGCATTTTGTGATGCTGCGTTGGCAGTGGTGGATAAGTAATTAGCAACACTCTCGTCGCTCAACAGCGCTGCCTTAAAGGGAACCGATATATATGCGTAATAGGCAACGGTTCACACCATGGCTCTCCTTCATGGTACAATGGCGACAGCAAAAATAAAATTTTTGATGTCAATATTCTCATCAGGCTGGAAGAAACACACCATCCTTTTTGGAGCTAGGCAACGGTGCAGTACCGAGCAGTGGCGGTTAGTTCTAAGCCATGAGTGTGGAATAGTTTGGTCACACTGACAACGATCGTCAACATCGTTATACGATTGCCGTCATCAACATCATTGTCGTCGTTGTCCCGATGAACTTTAACACAGGTGGTTATTTTATCGGTGGCTGAACAAAACTAAAATTGCATTAAAACCTACTAACAAGTTGGCAAGCTAAACTGACACTCACCTATGGTCTTAAATTGAAAAAACAATTCAGACTTCTGACAAGTTTGAACTTCTACCACTCTCATAAACAGGGCCTGCTGCATTGTTAAAACACTGCTACAGGCTGGCCTGATATTACGGACAAGAACCATCCACGCAAAATCCTCAACAGGTTTGCAAGAAAGAATAGCTCAAAGCTTAAAATGACAATTCACCACCCCAGTGAATTTGTTTCATCAACGTAGCAAGGTAAGAAGCGCATCAGTGAATCTGTTTAACATGTCGGCTTTCGCGACCAATATCAGCGAGTCTGTCCTCTTAAGTGGACATCGGGCAGTTCTCATCTCTTGATCAAGTCATCGAAATTCCACATTGCTGTGGCAGAAAATAGTCTCTCCATGGGACAATCAGAAGGCACCCGCCCGTTTTACCCCACCAAAGCGAAACATTCCTCGTTCTGCCGACCTCACGGACTGACGAACCTCTGCCCGCCTTCCATGCTCGCCACGTCGACATCGGCATAAAACGTGGCACACGGCTCCTCCTCCTCCTCCACCTCATCAACCCGCCTTTCCTCTCTCGCCTCCTCATCCCCACGGTCATGCCGTCCGAGCGCCAGCAGCAGAACGTCCCTCTCGGCGTGCCGCAGCTGGTGCGTTTTCAGTGTGGAGAAGCGTGTGAAGCCGCGGTCGCACGAGCGGCAGCGGTACGGCTTCTCGCCTGTGTGCGTCAGCCGGTGCGACTTGAGGTTCGAGCGGTGCGAGAACGCCTTCCCGCACACATCGCACACGTGCGGCCGTTCGCCCGTGTGCGTGCGCATGTGCACCGTCAGCGAGTCCGAGCGCGCAAAGCGCCAGCCGCACTGGCCGCACGTGTGCCGCCGCTCTCCACCGACGTCGCCGCTCGCACCGATGCTGGCGCCCGCCCTCCTGCCGCGCCACCGCCACCGCGCGGGCGCCATCACCGCGCCCGTGTAGGGCCTCGCTCCTCTCTCCGAGATTCTGGTGCTGCCGGTGGCGGCGGGGTCGGTGGCGGTTGCTGCCGCCGAAACTAATGGGTCGTCCGAGTTGCACTGGAGTTTGCCTCTCGCCGGCAGGACCGGCCTGGCGGGCAGCCTAGTGGCCCTCGCGACTCGAGTGCGCTGGGTGGTGGACACCTGCAGTGACGTCACTTCCTGGATGATGAATCCGGAATGCAATGGCGTCCCTTGCCCTACAGGAGACAACATTGGACAGACTTTAGAAGAAGCGTAGACCCGCCGGTCCGGGGTGCATCGCCAACTCGCGGGCTAGTTTGTTTGACTTTTTTTCTTTTATTGTCGCCTGGTTTATTATTCGTCAGCAAGGGCTCGGGCTGTTTAGTTTTACGGCCAGCTGGCGAAGATGAAGATGATGATGTTCGGCAGGTGAGATATTTCGACGTCAAAGTGGTGCTGCAAGTGCGCTTTGGGCTCGCATGCCGGGGAGCGATTGTTTTAAGTCACCACGGAGAGGTGGTTTTTCGCGCATGCATTTACTTAAGAATTTCAGTGCAAAGTCACAAAGGTTGTAAAGCCCTCATTCCTTTAGCACCATCAAAATGATGGAATACAGATTTTAAAATATTTGAAAATGACATCCAATCACATGCCAGTGTGGTCATTCGTGAAATGTGATTTCACGTGGAACCTCAACAAACCGTTGCTCGGCAACAAATACCAAACGCCTGTCTTGCAAAAACCAGACCCTCAATCAGGACGGCCGCAAAAAATCTTCCGTTTCTTGAAGACAGCAGCGTTCGGGCACAATATTCCACACAGGGCCAAATGTTTGCCGGGCGACATTCCTGCCGGACGGACATTTCACCGTACTGGGAAGTATTTTGCGCCTCTGCCAAGTCCCCGCGAAAAAATGTGAAATACCAAGAGGCACTTCAAATGCAAAGTGGAGCATCGCCGCCATGATTGGTACGCGAAGCAGATAAACAACATCCGCAGCCAAGGCATAAAGACAGGCGCTTGCCACTGCAATCGCGTGCAACGTCAGGATATGGGGGCGTCATCCACTCAAGCGCAGCTCTGCAATGTCAAGCTTGGGATCTTTGTAAGGCATCAGGGACAGGGACTCTTTGACCTGGGCCTTAGCACAGTGTTCAGACGATGCAAGTGGTGACAGATTTGCGTGATGTCATGGCGTCCCGGTCTTGAGAGGTTTTTGGAGATTACTTCCGATCGCCACGTTCTATGCTTGCGCCCAGAGCTTGGTGCACTTTGAGCACCGAATAACAAATTCCACGTGTCTTCATGTGTTTTGTTATTTTTTTTTGTCTTCAGCCAGTTCCCCCTCCACAGGTGCACGATTCGTTCCCCGGAGTGCTCGTTTGAAGCTCTGGTGCGCGTGCGCACCCGCAGGGAAGCACGTTTGACGAAATAAACTGAACGATAGAAAGGAAAACTTACGGTGAGTGTTTTTTGTCAACAGAGCAATAACTGTTGGCTTTGGCTTCCCAAAGCCACTTGGGTTGAAAACTAGTGGAGCTGGGTGCCAAAGCTGAAGCTTGATTTTTGAGTGACTGGCGGCGATTGGTAATAGAAAGGTTGAGTGACTGAAAACACCAATTCTGGCTTAGTCACACACACATATATACCTATTGCCGTGGAATGGCTTTTAAAAACGTATTACACGTTTATAAACTCGTCTGTTGCTTTTCAAATGCAAAAGGAAGGAAGTCTTATACCTATACACATGTCAGGACAGCTCAAACTCATCTAAAAAGTTAAATGAAATTTCAACATATACAGTTTCTGCGCATCTGCAAACCATACATTCTTAAGATGCCCAAAAACATTCCAGAGCAAAACAAACTAAGGCCAATAAAGTAGATTAAGGTGTAAAATAGCATTAAGCCAATGTGTTTTAAGTGATTGTCCTTCAGACAAGACACATGACTTAAAAAGCAATCGCAGTGCATCGTGGGAGTCATGCACAGCATCACATGTCGCAGCGGACAAGTCACCGTTTAAGCAGGTCGATGGTCGCACGCTTGACCACAATGGCACCACCAAGCGATTTGCCGATGATCCATCAAGGCCAACAAAGGGCGTCTTACCAGCAGAGCTTTAAAATCTGCTACGGACTATTTAAAGAGGCCCACGCAAGCAAGTGACCAATGAAGGACATGAGAGATGCTGCAACGAAAAACCAGTAAAACAAAGAAATTTGAAAAATATGGGCAGACATCTTCACTTCAAAGAATAAAAGAAGCAAGATGAAGAGGCTCTGGTGTGTGATGGATGTGAAGATGCAAATGTGCTAAGGATACGAGTGGCACGATGGAAAAATAATTTTAAAACGATATTTCAACGCCACCATACACAAGCCCTCCCCAGAAAGCTACGCATGATTATTTTATGTATCCATCTACATATCTACCTCTGCAACATTCCAACATTGTCGACCCCAGCGTTGGGCTGGACACACGTGAAAAAGAGCTTCATTGCCTATCGGGTTCTTCCCGTATAAAAACAATGTCGTCTACGCCTAATACAAAGCTGTAAAAATCACGCACGGGTGCAATAGAACGTTGTTTTATGACTGCCACTGCTCTGTGAACCACTGAAAAAATGAAATGCAACTGCAATGCCGGATCACATCCCTGACAAGCAGCACATCTCGTGTCACACCACTGAAAGCAGAGACTTTGTGGCTTACCGTGTCACGCAACTTTCTTCGTAGCAAAGCTGAAAAGACGTAAACTGCCCACCGTTTCTTGTTGGTATATGTAGTGGAGTATACGCGTGTGTTGATGTGCTCGTGGTTTTAAACCGGGCACGGCTGATGGTGAGAAATAAATGGTCTCCTGTCTATTGAGTGTAAATGCCCTATAAGAAGAGAGAGTATGTATGTTTACCAGCTTTATATACCGCACAAAGTTTGACAGCAATGCACAAATATCTACGTATTCTGCATGTTCACGTGGTTCACCTGCTCCATGTCCCTGTGTGTCCCCATCTCCTGTGTCTCCACATGTATACCCTATGCATTTTATGCGTTTGCCAGTGCACTCTGCGCATCTGTGTCTCAGCCTGCTGTTCGTTGTCTCTACCAGTCCCCGTGCATCTCAGGGCATCACATGTCTCTGCGTCTCCTCATATGTGCGCTGTTTATCCCATACGTCTCTCCGTGTTGACTGTACATCGCCGTGGGTCTCTATGTGACTCAGTATTCTATGTCTCGATATTGTTCCAGTTTTCTGTATGTCTATGCGTGTCTCTATATGTTCCAGTTTGCTGTGCGAGTCTGTGTCTCTCAGGGAATCTCTTGGGGGTCTCTTCATCGCCTCGTGTCCATGTTAGCTGCATGTCCCCGCATATCCCCGCCTTTCGCAGTGCCGTTCCCATGTGTCTCCACATGTCTCCGCATGTCTCCACGTGTCCCTGCTCATTCCCGTGTGTGTCTCCGTGTCTCCGTGTGTCTCTGTGCTCTTGCCTGTGTGCTGCGTGCTGGTCGTTGCCACTGCCACTGGGTCTCCCGGCCCCTGCCAGCTGGGGTGGTTGCCCTCGTCTCCTCCCGGCGCAAACTCCAGCGATGATGCTTCACCTACAACATTCGACATAGAATTACTCCCCATCATCGCAGTTGCCATATTCCATTTTATTGCAAAATGTATAATTTACAAGGGAGATTAATACGCCGATGATGTCGTCAGATCTCGGAAGCCAAGCAGGTTTGAGCCTGGATGGTGCCAAAGCCAGCCTGGTGACTGTGCTACGCAGTGGACAGCAAAGCAAAGTGGAGAAATATCCATTTCCGTCATGTCTATGCACCCCGTCTTCACCAACCTGAACTGACCAGCGTATGGTGAAATAATCACCACTCACGATGCATCAGTTGATTGACAAAAGGGCCGTACATCTACACAGAATGTAGAGACAACAGACCTCAATGGATGCCCTCGGTAAATTCGAGGAGACCAATTTACTGAATTGATTGCTCAACACTCCCATTACATTCTCGCTACAACCGTGCGCTGTCTGGACTAGACTCTCCCCCTGCCATCATCTTCATGAGCCATGATCAATCCACTGGAGGATGAAGGCACCTCCAAGGCCGCTGGCGCCACCTCTCATGACCCTGCAATGCAAAAATCTGTCGAGCATCTGGACAGAAACACTGATCGCTTCGCTCCAACGTCTCGACGGATGTCATCTCGGACGCAATGCATCCCTGTGTTTTTATTGTAGTCAGCAATGACTGAGTGGACGAAAATCAAAGCGTGACAAAGACGTCAACTTCCCACCGTAACGTGAATTATGAGACGAAACAAACGAGTTTGAATGAAGAAGCAGACCGAGATAATTTCATTAACATCATTAGAGACTGCAGTGCACCGAGGAAGACCAAACAAGTGAAATGGCTATATACATGTGAAAAGATTTCCGAGTTCAATCTATGGGCCGACCTGACGATGTTACAGAGAAGTAGAGGAAAAAAGTGTGCACCACTCACACCAACGTTTAACAAGTGAATGGACTAAATGTTTGACTGCTTTAGTTGACTTGACAAAGGCAATGACCAAAACGAAATTCATACACTAAGATTTAACTAATATTTCATGGGTTTGTCGCCAACAGAATGAAGACTACCATTAAAACTCTGAAACAGACTTCACAGACAAGTCTGTGGCCGTCTGGAACGCTCCTCCTTCCGATATCAGGAAGCCACTGGAGCTATGCACTTTTAAATCATCTAGATTGAAAACTAATATCTTTACAACTGCTTTTTGTGTTTAGTTTGTCGTCTTTCCCCACACCCCTCTAATTAGCACGGTTGGCTACGTACAGTGCTAAATAAGTTCAACATACATATATACAACACCCCACTTGCGCATACATAACACCACTCACACACAACTACACATCATCAGGAGTCAAGCTTACCGACTCCGGTCCAGAATTTTGCTTGCCTTAAAATAAATGCTGCTCGAATTGCACGCTCCCCCCGCACACCCTCCAATTAGCACAATTGGCTACGTACGGTGCAAAGGAAGTTCAACATGCATACATACGGCGCTTGTGCATATACACACGCCGAGTATATTTATACCTTCTTTACATATATATTTTTTACTATTTAACTAGTTTTTTTATATATATTGTTTTGTGTTTTGTTCGAGGCCATGTACGATTAGTTTTTGTATCCATTTACATAACGTCCTCTGAAATGTTCCAGTCCAAGTCCAAACATGCATACACATGTAAAACACAAAACCGGCCTACTAAAACAACCAACACAGATGCTCACCCCTAGCCAGGCCAAAGCCCCCACCCTTGCCGCCGACCGATTCTGCGGGGGCGTTGAGGGGCGCGGCGTCCATCCGATTCCCCGGCTCCCCCCACGACAGATGCCGGCTGCCACCCTCCGCACCCCGTCGAGACGGCAGATGCGCCGTCGACTCCACCGCCGCCGACGCCGCCGACGTACTTCGCTCATCTGCAACCGACAGTTGCAGCGAGAACCGTCGGCCTGCCATCATCACCATCGTCTGTGCCGAGATCAGCGTGGGCATCAAAGGTGGGTGAGAAACTCCCCACAGAAGCAAATCGCAGGGTGGACCACGTGGAAAAATCTGAACTGTATAAAATAATTTGGCACGTGTCGTGACGGGTACTGGCAAGATCCGGCCATGTCCGTCTGGTTCTCGCTGAGCTGCATTGCCTTCTGGTTGCCGAATGAAAAGATTATAAGGTCACGCTCATTACACACAAAGTGCTTGCCACAAATGAGCGATAATACCTTGCTGATCTTGTGAAGGAGCATAAACCATCACGCGAACTCGGGTCATCCTCATAGCAGCGGCTTTTGGCTTACCATCAAACAAAGACGTCTGAAATGAAATTTCGATTTAAAGCTTTCGTGACTGCAGGGATTCATCTTCTTGGTTCTTTCGGTAAAGTCACGTAGAAGGGAAGTAATAAAATAATAAAAATAAAACATAATAAAACAATTCTCACGACGTTTCGGCTACAACGCAAGCAGCCGTCTTCAGGTGAAGAATGAGACAATGCCAAGCTAGGAGCTTATATATAAGCTGCGTTGGAGGTGGAGGAAAGAGCGCCTTAACAAAAGAATGTGCATGTGAAGAGGAATTTAGCATATTCATGGAAAATGCGTAGGAGGTGGGCGGGGGGGTTTCAAAGTCATATTATGCCCATGCATTATGCAGGATCAACAGCACCAAGGGGGGGGTTCAGGGATTAGCAGTAACAAAGGAAAGGAATGTTAATGATATGTAGCTGCAGTTACTCAACCACCACGTAGAAAACTAAAGTATAAACTACATAAAAAACTAAAGTATAAATAGCATAGCACCATCAGTATACTTACTATACTCTACACTAAGCTGAGTTACTAACAGCAAGTAATACATTACAATTCTACGTCGTAAAAAACTAAGTTTCCTCTGTGGTAGCAGTTACATTGGAGAAACCAAACGACATGTCTCGGACCGCATCCGTGAACATAAGGCAGACCTGAAACACGGTAGGACAAACACCTCAGCCGTGGCAGATCACTGTTACAATTCAGTGGGCTCACATGACATTGACTTCTCCAAGACAGAGGTTCTCTGCAAGCCATCTGGCTATCATGAGAGATTCGTTCATGAGGCGATCCACATATACAAACACAGAGACAATTTTAACCGAGAAGATGGATTCTGGCTTAGCAATCATTGGAAGGACGTAATAAACCATTTCGACACACATTAGGGTGGGTAGAATAATACATAGTGTTATATTAAATGTATAAGATATAGGTTGGTTTACAGCAATACAGTATATAATTTAATGTTGGCAGTATATAGTACGGTATATGCTCGTTGATGCAATAGAATAAAGTTTAGATGGAAGCATATTATATAATTTTTACGACGTAGAATTGTAATGTATTACTTGCTGTTAGTAACTCAGCTTAGTGTAGAGTATAGTAAGTATACTGATGGTGCTATGCTATTTATACTTTAGTTTTTTATGTAGTTTATACTTTAGTTTTCTACGTGGTGGTTGAGTAACTGCAGCTACATATCATTAACATTCCTTTCCTTTGTTACTGCTAATCCCTGAACCCCCCCCTTGGTGCTGTTGATCCTGCATAATGCATGGGCATAATATGACTTTGAAACCCCCCCGCCCACCTCCTACGCATTTTCCATGAATATGCTAAATTCCTCTTCACATGCACATTCTTTTGTTAAGGCGCTCTTTCCTCCACCTCCAACGCAGCTTATATATAAGCTCCTAGCTTGGCATTGTCTCATTCTTCACCTGAAGACGGCTGCTTGCGTTGTAGCCGAAACGTCGTGAGAATTGTTTTATTATGTTTTATTTTTATTATTTTATTACTTCCCTTCTACGTGACTTTACCGAAAGAACCAAGAAGACGTCTGAAATGCTCTTCCATTCGATAATAGGAAGCCACTAGAGCAACGCACTTTTAAATCTAAAAATAATTTCTTTGGAACTACTTTTTGTGTTTAGTTAGTTGTCATTCCCCCACACCTCCGATGAGCAGGGTTGGCTATGTACGGTGCAAAAAAAGTTCTACATATATACATACATACACAAGAGGAAAACGTCGATTAGAAAACAGATGCAAGTTGAAAGACATCGTGATAATCTGCAGGTCGCGTCACGAGAAGCGACGGTGGCCATTTGGCGAGCATAACAAAGGAGCGGCAACCAAAGAAGAGAACATGCCGAGAGGATGTACACAGAGAAGAAGCAGAAATTAAATGAGCCCTTGTATGTGTGTTACGTGGACCATTACATCATAGGTTTTCGCGAGAGATGGTGATGGGCTTGGAAAGGCCTCCATCCAGTCATTGACTGATCACGTAGGATTATTCAGAAAAAAATGGACACGTTAGCGCCACGCGGCGTCACCTTCGCATGCCTCCATCTTCACCCCGTACCACGAGCGCTGGTCGCTGACCCCCGTCTCCACCGACCCAATTCCTGTAGCCACGCCGCCCGTTGATGCCTCCGGCACCTCTCCTGCTGAGACAGCAACCGGTAGCACTGCGTCACAAAGCGATCCCGTGCGTGCTATTTACATCAAACTACACTATCAAACTATTTTCATTTTACAAGTTGATGTATGTATGTTGAACTTCTTTCGCACCGTACGTAGCCAATGGCGCTAATCGGAGGTGCGGGAAAGGTAAGGCCCACTGAGCTATACGGCTCTTTTTCAGAAACGACCTGGCCATCACAAATGATAGCTCAATGAATTGGCTTATCACGTGGACATTTATAGCAGCCAAATACTCTTAAGCCCATGTTTATATATGTGGAGGTAAAAACCTGAGGACCCAGAAAAAAATCCACACGACCACAGGACATGCAAACTCCAAATATACATGTGTCAGGGTCGGAATCGAACCCGTGACCTCCTGTATCCCGGGCGAGGTAGTTAACATCTCGTCACAGTGCCTAGAAACTACATTAGAAACTGATTAATCTGGCCATTGCCTACATACTCCATCAAAGAACATGCTACATGTTCTTCCCTTTTTAAAATGCATTTTCTTGAGTGGTGCATTATTATGCAATTGACAAAATCCAGTACTTTTAATGTTACATCACAAATCATGCATACCTGTAAACCCATACAGTTTATCCGTATTCTTGTACAGGGAAATTGAGTTCAGGTCCATACGGCCTACAGATGTTTCAATACGGGCAAAAATATTTGTTGTACATTTGCTTGTGTTTCTCCCTTGTGATTGGACTTTGTCGGATGAACGTTGAGATTCATAAGGACACAGGGTGACCAATACGGTCTGAATTGGTCTGTAATAAGGCAGGCACTGATAAGGGGTTTACAGGTATGGTGATATAACATTAGTAACATCACAAGAGTGGGTGATTCTGAGAAAACCAGGACAAGGTGGCAACCTTCGGCTGAAAGAAAAATCACCGGCAACGCCATGACCTCGCACCCACCGGATTCCCCGTTAAAGTCGCGCTCCTCAAACTCCTCGACTGCCGACGGCGGTTCGTCCTCGGCGTTTGTGAACTCGGATGTGTCATCTGAGTGTAGCAGGGAACAGGACACGTGTGTTAACCTTCACCGGTTGAACGGATTCCCTTTACATGCATCACAAACAGCGCTCTAGATCACGATGTGTACGGGGAATTTTCACGTTTCGTAAAAAATATCAATTTGTATACGATATTTAAATTGAATACGTAACAGCATGTATAGCAATTGTGCCAGGAAGCTGTGAGTTTGTGCGATGGAAAACAGACGCACGCATGTGATAGCAGTGCAATGGTTCACACCATGTGTCACCCCTAAGCGCATGGGAAGCACCAAGAACATGGGAGCAGCAGGACGGACACCGAGAGGCAGGCCTAGATAAAGAGGTGGTTCGAAGTGCTGAACCAGGATCTGAAGAACTCTGAAGTGGATGTGTCCCAGGACATGAATGAGTGGAACGATAGAACCAGAATGGCAAAGCCCACATGAGTGGGAAAAACAAAGGAATTTAAAAGTCAAAGCATAATTGTTCTGCTTCGCAAAACCAAATGGACTGCAGAGCTCTTTGAGCAGAAGCAACACTTACTGTGGTTTGAATAATCATTGGGCAGCTTTGCCGCGAGATGATCACCCTCAGGCGGTCTGTACTTTGTGCCTCCGCTGCTGCTCGGCGTAGACAAACCCCCCACATATGCGACGTCCATGGAGCCCAGCTTCTCCATAGACATTGACAGCTCCCGGCTAAGGCCACCAAAGAGCGTGACCAGCACATCCACCAAGCTGCTTAGAACCAGGTCCATGCGTAGAGCAGCTGTTTCGGATTGCGCCGTCGTCTCGCCGTCGTGGTGCTCGGCGCCCTGAAGGGCCTTCACCACCTGCCGCAGCACGGCGTAGAAGCCGAAGGGCAGGCGGTCGCGTGCCGTGGCCAACAACTCAGCCCGCACGAGGCCGTCCCCGACGCAGGCGCGCAGGACCCCATAGTCCCGGATTCCCAGCTCCGAGTCCATGGCCTGGGCCACCTCCGGGTTCACACCCTGCGCCTCCAGCCATGCCGGAAAGTCCTCGCTCCAGGAAGCAGTGGCAGCACATGCCATTTTTTAAAAGACCTGGAGAGAAGGAAGTAGAATGCAAGCAACGGTTAACATTTCAGCGACATGTTATCAGATGAATATTATTTCCTCAGGAAAGACTGGTCCCAGCATACGGATGTGGAATTTCCAGCAATGGCGCAGGACTACTGATGATGAATACCACACAAGAATGCGTACATTTAAGACTTGAAAAGTGTGCACGTTACACTCATAATTTCCTCTGCACATGCTGAAAACTTGTCCAGCACCATAATGTGTTCAACAGCCATTCGGGAAGTAAAAGTATTTCTCTTTCCGCTTCTTTAATCATGTTGCTGGACATTGGAATTAAATCCCATCGTCTCTTTTTCCAAGCTGCTATGACCTTGCTCAATGCAATACAATTATTAGTTATTATCTATTGAACACATGTAGGATGGTCACCATGAGAAAATTTTAAAGTGTGTTGCTCGAAAAAATGGAAGGAACCGGAAAGAGAATGGCTTGACGACGACGACATAAGAGATTGGTGCCAGAAAAATGTGGCACTACCTTGAGCATATTGGCACAAGACAGAGGTAATTAGAAAACAAATGACGAAATGTGCAGTGGACAACTATGGTTATCTACCCATGCATCGTGATGATGATTCCAAATCCAAGAACTATGTTGTTGGCAGTTGCTTGGTATTCATTGACATGCGTTCACACACCGCGATAGAAAAAACTGGACCTCGTTCATTCTCTACCTGCACCTTCAGCCTGGAAGTTCCTCACCCTGGTGCCTGGTGTGGGCAGAGCAAGTCATTAGAAGGGACGATGGCTTGTTGTTGAGCTAAAGAAGGCAACATATCTGACAGGACGTCCTAAGAGAACGTGCCTGAGAAACAGAGCGAAGAATTCAGCTCGCGTGAAATGAGGCATTACATGGATTGTTGCATGTTGGACACCTTAGGTGAAGTATGGTCAAATAATGCCCATGCCCCCCCCCCCCCCGCATGCACGGCATGGGACAGCCCTCATGCAGCAGTGGATTGATAAAAGGGCTGTGCGTGAGAATTGGGCTCAAGGGCAAGACAACTGGGTCACATTCCATCGCCCACGCCTCTCACCTGTGAAACCCGGGGCATACGTTGATTGATGTACAGTAGACTTTCGATTACCCGCGTTCGGTTTATCCAATTTGCAGATTAACCGTGCACCTGAGATTTTGACATAAATTAGTAACTCATAGATTTTCCCTTAAGCCCAAATTAATAATCTAAAAACAGTTATAAATTGTTATTCTTGAAAATGTGTATTACAAGTCACGTGCTTAAACCGAACAATTATGTGCTGCAATTAAACCGTAATCCACATAATCGCCTCTACAGTACAGTAGTTGCATATCTTTACAACAGTGGGCGGAGTTTGATTTATTTTGATTGGCGAAGCTCTGCTGCTATCCACTTAGTGGGCCGAGTCTTCTGCATGGGAGCAGGAAAGTGTTATCACTGATCACGCGCATCAATACATTCTTTTATTCCACATTTGTTTTGTTAAGTAACAAACTAAATTTTCTTAACTTAAACATAATTTATACGTAATTTAGTGGCTTTTGGCATAGAGATCCGAGGAAAATGGATATTTTTGGATTATCGCGATTTTGAATTTGCGGCCGTCCTCCCAGTCATTCGCGTGGATAATCAAGTGTCTACTGTACGTTGCTCATTAACGGAGCTGCCCAAACATCCTAATGCAAGACCATAACATTAGAGTGGGTGACAAGTCAATAGTGATCGTCCTATGGACGGGAACAGCCCTGCCCTGAGAATGTGGAACAACCACCAATTGTTCAGGGCCCGCCAATAAAGACGAGTGCAGCTCCACACTCAATTTGTTACTTTGACAACCGCACGTATTTGTGCAAATATACTGCGATTCGCTTTATCTTACCTGTAAAAGTATTTTTTTGTCTGTCTCTGTCTGTATGTCTGCGCACACGCCTTGCGACGCTTTTAACTGACAAACTGTTGGGTTTACGTTTCAACAAAGTACACAGATACAACACACTAAGTCCGCGGACGAAAAAGCCCGTTTGTTTTTCACCTCCGTCAAATTTTAACTAATTAAATCTCACTTTATATTACGCTGATCGCGGCACCAAAGCACACATCTGTGCATGTGCGGAAACGCTGACTCGCGGTTGCCCCTAGCAATGCACACCAGCTCGCTCAGCGGCGATGGGAGAGAGGTTCTCCTCGCGTTAAAAAGGCGAAGAAAAAAATACAGAAGCACAACACTGAGGTAAATTCTCAACAGTGTGATGTCCCCCCCCCACCGCAATGTGTGCAGTTACTAATATAGAGTCGTTAGATATTACTGTAAAGTTGGTAGGTACTACTGTAGAGCAGCCGGGGGATGGTGGATGGGGGGATAGCAGCCCAGCCCCAGCCAGCCAAGATGCCACCTCGGCCGGCTGGGCAATCTAGCCGAGGCCGGTGACACTCCGTGGGACTAGGCCACACCATGGCACTCCCTGACTCACCGACGCAATGCTCCATAGTTGTCTATACTACTGTAGAGTCAGTAGGTACTACTGTAGAGTCAGGAGGTACTACTGTAGTCAGTATGTACTGCTATAGAGTCAATAGATACTACAAGTCAGAAGATATTGTAGTCACTAGATACTACTATAGTTACTATAGAGTTGGTACATACTACTGTAGAGTCGATAGATATGACTATAGTCAGTAGAAACTACTGTAGAGTCGGTATATACTACTGTAGTCAGTAGATACTACTGTGGTCTCTAGATATTACTGTAGATTCAGTAGCTACTACTGCAGAGTTGGTAGACACTACTGTAGAGTCAGCAGGTACTACTATAGAGTCAGTAGATATTACTACAGTCAGTAGATACTACTGTAAAGCCAGATACTAGTAGAATCACTAGATACTACTCACTATTGTATGCAGGGTGTGTAGGTATAAATGCCTATGGGGAGGTAAAAATATTTTTTGACGGGGGGGTCGACAATTTTTGGAAACCTTTTAGATAAACTATTACTATTTACTCCCCACTTTCTATTACTTTTTGATTCAGGACTTCTGCAAGCCTCGTATCATTTTGTTGACGGCCAATTGGACAGACAAAATAAATGCTGGGCATTCACAATAGCTTAGTATTTGTGTACGAATATGTTACTTTTTAAGAGAAGACAAGTTTTGAAATATATTTTCCCCTGGGCAACGCCGGGTACTTCCTGCTAGTAATATATATATATACTTTATTTTACTGTCATTGTTCAAAAGCTCGCATCGGCCCGGATCTATCCACCGTTGGATGAAGGCCTCCTCAAGCCCGTTGCCATCTTGCACCAATCATGTGATGCCATAATCCGAGCCGAGCGCAGTACAGGGACTCCTATTTTGTTTTGTTGCCAGATAAAAGGGAAAAGCGTATTCTCATATTTTGGTACTGGCCAAGGAGGTCCCATGAGGGACCCTTCTACTTACAAACTTTCAGAGATACGAACAAACTTGGTGCGTACGTCCAGTTGCCTGTTCGGACCGAGAGTCATAAGATCAACCGCCGCGCAATAGATGGCGGCGGTGGCATCTGCATCTGTAGAACATGAAGAACCAGCAGCATCTACAGATAATGAAGAACCAGTGAAATCTACATCTGCAGAACATGAATAAACAGTGGCATCTACATCTGCAGAATGTGAAGAACCAGTGCCATCTACATCTACAGAACGTGAAGAAGTGGCATCTATATCTGCAGAAAGTGAAGAACCAATGACATCTACATCTACAGATTATACAATTTTTAAAGCCATTCCCCGTGTTTAGTGTACATGCCGTACCACACGTTTGGAATCGTCAGGATTAAAGTTGGGACTTACGAACAAGACCTCTGGAACCTAACTCGTTCGTAAGTAGAGTACCTGTAGCTGCGTACAAAAATGGGAGGTGTGCATGTGATGCCGACAACAGGAATTTTAATGCCTGAATCAGAAAATCCCAAAGTTATAAACATCACATTGACTGTTAAGAAAAGACAAAAAACACGTGATGAATCATTGCATTATACTCTCCAACACACAACCGGCATGCTATACTAGTAACAAATTGGCACGTTTTGTTTACGTGACAACCCCTTACTAATTGGCTGTGTTGGGTGGTGGCAGGTTTAACGATGCATTTATATTTCCTGATGATGCTAGTTGTAATCACTGGCGAAACGTCGTACTCGAATTGTAAATGTTGTGGATTTTACTCTCCAACACACCGGTGTGCTGAACTAGTAATGAATAGCCACGTTCTGTTTACGTGACAAACCTTTACTAATTGGTTGTGTCGGTGGCGGGTTTAACGACACATTTATATTTACGAGATCTAACCCCAAAAAACCTCTATTTTGGATAATCATTGCATCGTCACATCCCATAGCAGACGCTGAAATTCCGTGACATCATTAAACATCCTCTGACGTTTGTGAAAGAGCTTCATAGCTCATCGGATTCCTGCAGTAGAAATATTTAGATTTTTGAAGAAAAACAAATTAACTTAGCCACTAAAAAACACCACACAAAAGCTAATAGCTCAGCGCTAGGTTTTACCTAATACGATTTTAAAAAAATATACAGGATGTTTAAAAAAGATGGACCCAATTTCAAAGCAGTATTGCTTTGAAATTGGGTCCATATTTTTGAAACATCCTGTATATTGTTTAGTTTCATTTGCATATACTTTAAGCGATTTATTTACATTTTATATACCTTGCACTCTTATCGTATTTCAGTATTGTTTCTTGTAACTTTGTGACCCCGTGTCCCTACTGAGACGTGAAAAAATTGCTTTGTAGCTCATCGGATTCCTCCGGTATAAATATATTTATAAGTTGCGTTGGCAATGGTGCACAAGCACATACAAAAGGCAATACATTCCTCAACAACGCTGCCTTAAAAACACAAGCATATATAGGCGACGTTTCGGACAATAACTCTTAACAGGATATACATTTAATAAGAGCGGCTATAACATCGGCTAATTGTGTCCGTATTAACATCTGCAAGATATAGCAACGACCAGAGGAAGACTTTAACCCAGCAGTTTATATAGAGCACAGCTGATAAGTAGTATTATTATCGTTGTCAATGTTTAATTGTGTTATTACTCAAACGTACTAGCAGGCCTCAGGCCTAGGTAACGTCCGCTTAGAACGCCAATAAACATCGCAAAAACTCACCCACTCCGGCCCGCAGCGAGATAAAGCCGCTGTTGTTGTTTTTTCTGTATTAACGTTGACTGAATGTATTATTTGGGCAAGCGAGAAAAACGAGCGACGCTTAATAACGACAATATTAAAAGTAACAATAGCGAAGGCAATTAACATTAACACGCGGGAAGCTGACGGTGGTGGTGGGTGGGCGGCTCGAGTTCCTTATCGACGCGCCGGCTGATTCGCGAGAACGTCATCGGCGACAGAGCAATGGTCGAGCGCTCCGTCATCGGCGACAGAGCAATGGTCGAGCGCTCCGTCATCGGCGACAGAGCAATGGTCGAGCGCTCCGTCATCGGCGACAGAGCAATCGTCGAGCGCTCCGTCATCGGCGACAGAGCAATCGTCGAGCGCTCCGTCATCGGCAACAGAGCAATCATTCTTTGGTTTTTTTGGTAAAGTCACGTATAAAAATAAAATAATAAATTAAATAATAGCATACGACGTTTCGATTGCAACACAAGCAATCATCATCAGGTATAATGAAATAGCGACATAGAATATAACCAGAAAACTATATTCTATGTCGCTATTTCATTATACCTGATGATGATTGCTTGTGTTGCAATCGAAACGTCGTATGCTATTATTTAATTTATTATTTTATTTTTATACGTGACTTTACCGAAAAAAACAAAGAATAATTCCTGCAGTCACGAAAGCTCCAAAATTAAAACAGAGCAATCGTCGAGCGCTCCGTCATCGGCGACAGAGCAATCGTCGAGCGCTCCGTCATCGGCGACAGAGCAATCGTCGAGCGCTCCGTCATCGGCAACAGAGCAATCATTCTTTGGTTTTTTTGGTAAAGTCACGTAAAAAATAAAATAATAAATTAAATAATAGCATACGACGTTTCGATTGCAACACAAGCAATCATCATCAGGTATAATGAAATAGCGACATAGAATATAACCAGAAAACTATATTCTATGTCGCTATTTCATTATACCTGATGATGATTGCTTGTGTTGCAATCGAAACGTCGTATGCTATTATTTAATTTATTATTTTATTTTTATACGTGACTTTACCGAAAAAAACAAAGAATAATTCCTGCAGTCACGAAAGCTCCAAAATTAAAACAGAGCAATCGTCGAGCGCTCCGTCATCGGCGACAAAGCAATCGTCGAGCGCTCCGTCATCGGCGACAGAGCAATGGTCGAGCGCTCCGTCATCGGCGACAGAGCAATGGTCGAGCGCTCCGTCATCGGCGACAGAACAATCGTCGAGCGCTCCGTCATCGGCGACAGAGCAATCGTCGAGCGCTCCGTCATCGGCGACAAAGCAATCGTCGAGCGCTCCGTCATCGGCGACAGAGCAATGGTCGAGCGCTCCGTCATCGGCGACAAAGCAATCGTCGAGCGCTCCGTCATCGGCGACAAAGCAATCGTCGAGCGCCCGGTCATCGGCGACAAAGCAATCGTGGGGTGGGGCGCGGCGATCGGTCAGGTGGGAAGGGGGGGGGGTCCCTAATATTTTATTTGAATTAAATGAAAATAAAAACGTGGGACGTAATTTAAAGATTGTTTTTTTTAATGCCCATTTATATTTAAACCGCGTTTTAATGCGTTTTTATTTTTTTACACTGTTGTTGAAAATGTATCTCATGATGGTTGTCAAGGGGGGCCCAAATCGTAGCTTTGGCCACAAGGGAGGAGGGAAATGCAGCCCGTGCCCCCCTACGCTATCGTTACGCTTTTAACTCAGCTTCAGCTTCCCATAAATCACGCGACTTGTGTGTGACCCAACCGACACTCTGAATCACTCCCCTCTCATCTATGTATCTACATCTCTGCAGTATCTAAATCGCCTCAAGCGTCCCGTGAATCACGTGAGTTATGTGTGGCTCACCCTCCCCCACGCCCCCAGTTCTGGCCCCCTCCCACTTGCTGCCGCCCCCTGTAAAAACAGACGCCGCTTCGTGTAGCAGCGTCAAGGCCATTCCTTGTCTGCCCTGTCACTTTGATTCCCATTTCTCCACTCCCTTTCCATCCCCTTGTTCCCTCTTAATTTCCCATTCTTTCTCTCTTCTCTCTTCCATTTCCCGTTCCAGTTTTTTTCTGTTCCCATACATTCATTGCATCGTTGACTCTACTTCCATTGCTGTGGTGTGCCAGTGGCACAACGTTGCTAGTAATGCCAATTTAAGAGACTTAACCCTCCACCACCCAACACCACCAAGCAAATCAAGTTGTCACATGGGACAAATGCCGCGAATTAATTTACCAATTTTGTATGGGCAGGTAACCGAGTAACCCCCTTGCACTGACCCAACATGGTTTTCTGAGAAATAAATGTACGTATTAATCAACGTCAATATTTTAACTAATTGTCCATTTTGTGAGGTTTCCTACCTAGCTAAGCATGGGCGCTCTGCACGGTCGACGTCATTTGTTTGCGCTCACTGGTTACTATTGGAAACCACATTGTTTACGATGACTGAGTTTCTAGGTTACCATATGGATTAAAATGTTGTATGGGCAAGTAATTGCATTGGTTATATGAATAGCCCCCCGATGGACATAAGCCAATGCGATTGGTTATCACCGGCGGCCTGAACATACGTCTGGGTCGACCGGGCGACGTGCCCTTGTGCGATTTATTCTGCGAAGTGCTCTGCAACGTTCAGTCTTTGCGCGTCAATAACCACACTCAAGACATTGGTGGGATCCATGAGGGCGGAATGACAGCCGCCCTCAGTCAAGGGCATCGAGCAATCAATGTCTGTTCGACCACCGACTTGTGCAGTCGTCCATAAACCTTGAGCCGTCTGCTGCGCTGATGTACGAGACTTGTGAACGCCATTCGTGGGAGCCCTTTGATGCAAACTGCTTCTGCTCGGCCCTGCAGGTATGATGTCGATGCGGCGCTGAGCGTGCTATCACTCAGACCGACGATGGCACCGTGGTTCAGATGTACAAGACCATCACAGGCTTGATGTCTACGTCCCTGCAACCTCTTACAATCAACACCGACAACAGCGCCACCAAGCATTGTTCTCGAAACGCTTGAATCTCACAAATACTGCTGGAAATTGAACTATGCTCGGTCTGTCTTGGTTCAGTTTCTGTATTCCAGGTACACGTGTGTCTACAAAAAGTTTTCTGGAAAGCTAAGATCGACTCACAAATACTGTAACCCGAGAAAACCGTGGCGCTCCACCGACACCTATGCATGTGTGAGCAGAGAACGAAAAATGTTGTCAAAAAGTGACTTGGCAAACCTCATAAACAAGGTATATGATATCCATGCATCTGAAAAAAACTATTTTATTTACCAGATAAAGCCCACTAAGCTATGCGCTCTTTTTCAGAAGCGCCCTGGCCACAAATTATAGCTCAACGAAGTGCCTTATCGTGTGGAAATGTAGAGCAGCCAACTCATCTCAATTAAATAATCTAAACGCATCTGCAAATATGGCACCGTCCGCCACGTTTTGTTGACATCACAGTCAACGATCGGCTTTCGTCTTTCACTCCGCTGGGCATAGATGACGTCACAAAGGGTTGTTTACCACGCTCCAGATAACCAATCGCGTTGCAGCATGTGATGGGTGAGGCGCACGCGTGGGTGGAGATTTGACACAAGGCCATATATTTGCGCATCATGAGAATTGCAATAAAACCGGGAGCACAATAACAGCAATTAACACAACTTTTTCTATGCCAAACAAGGCCCCAACATATTCTTGGTTCTTTCGATAAAGTCACGTAGGTAAAGAAAATAATACATAAAAATAAAATATAAAAATAAATAAAATTAAATCACGACGTTTCGATTGCAACACAAGCAATCATCATCAGATGTGAACACCACAGCAAGAAATGTATACTAAAGTGGGAGAGATGCCAGGAGGCTATATAAGTCAAACAGGGGGGAAACGGAGGGGGGGGGTTAGGGAGCGAGGGGGAGGGCGCCTCGTGGACGCCTGGGACTGGGAACGCGAAAATGGACGGGTGGAGGGGGAAGTAGGCGGGGCCAGAAGCGAGAGGCCGAGTGAACTAGAGATGCGTGGGCGACGCAGCAGCAGCTACGAACTGCAGCCAAAACCAATGAGGGCACCCAAAGCGAAATAGCAGCACTGCTAAACGCTGGGGATGCAATTAACTCGGTAAAATAGTCTGGTATCCGATAAATAAGATGGGACAACTATGAACAATAAATTTTTTTCACCTGGTTAATAACATCTTTCCCTCCGTTCCCCCCCTCTTTGACTTATATAGCCTCCTGGAATCTATCCCACTTTAGTATAATTTTTTTGTATTGCTGTGGTGTTTACACCTGATGATGATTGATTGTGTTTGCAATCTAAACGTCGTGATTTATTTTGATCTTTTATTGAATTTATTATTTTATTTACCTACGTGACTTTACCAAAATAACCAAGAGCATGGATCCTTGCAGTCACGACAACTTCAATTCTAGAAGGCCCCAACAATTCAGTTTACACACAACCCTCCCTCTTAACAGCATCGTCACACAGCAAGGCATTGACACTTCTTCAGAAACGTTCACTTGACAGCAGCCCCTAGGCGCCGCCTCAGTTTGTAAGACGCAGCTGTTGTAAAGGGAGTGAGTGTAAGAGGCCGTCCCTAAATAACGTTACGCGATTTTGGACGATTCCCCCCCCCCCCTCGTCACACGGCGTCACAAAAAGTCAGACCCCCCCCTCAAATGACGTCACAAAGCTCTGCCTCCCCCCAAAAATAAAACATGCTTCAAATCGCTTTAAACTATTGTCATTGTAGTGCGTATTTAATGTGGCGCTGCACTCTGATGTTGTAGGAGAAAACATTTATTAAAAAGTCTATTTAATTAAGTAGAACGTGTTGTCTGTATTTATTTAAAGTTGCGCATTTTGATGTGACGTCCCATTTCTCAACCCCCCCCCTCTCGTCACACATCGTCACAAATGTCTGACCCCCCCCCCCCCCTAGGCGCGTGACGTCATTTATGGACGGCCCCTTATCATCACGTGCAAATGTATTGCAGTCAAACACTCGAAGAGCGTGTTTCTAAATGTGGAGGGGAAAACGGGATGACCCGGAGAAAAGTCCACGCGGCCACGAGGAAGAGAGACACACGCAAACTCCAAAATACTCAGCAGGCGTCGGGGTCGGGATCGGGATCGAATCCACGAACTCCTCTCTACCTGGGTGAGGAAGTTAACACATACTACAGGGGGGGGTGGAGCCTGACTCACACCCGGCTACGTTCTCGGCCGAGCTGTACACGCATCCACGTGAGGCCGGGACTGTCCTTTGACCCAAAACATCACAGATTGTCTTGAGAGATGGTCATGCATCAACTATACTTGTTTGCTCCAAGTCAAACCGGTCTTGTTCTGGATTCCGTCTGCCTCCCTCTCCTCGTGACTGATTACGCAATCCGGGTCATACCATTTTCATTCTTTTCACCGGAGGGTGGAATGTTTCAACACGGGGCATACCACTTCCGTGGATTTCACGGGGGTTGGTTTGTATAGTTTTTTTTTAAACATGTTCCCTTGAATTACGGTCCTCTGGTTTATACACATACACCAAGTAATATCAACAGCGTAAATCACGATAAATCACAGTCGGCGGCTTCCAACTTGGCTACTCAAAAGGACTCCATCGACGCCGTACGTCACACGGAATCGATGCCACGTTCTTCGCGTCCTGGGTTCCAATCCCACCCCCGCGCTTAAACTGTTTCATGCGTAGTAGGCTTTCGCGACCAATATCATCCACGATGCAGTTTTTTTTTGGGTTAGATCGCGTAAATATAAAAACGTGTCGTTAAACCCGCCACCACCCGACACAGCCAATTAGTAAGGTTTGTCATGTAAACAGAACGTGGCCCATTCGTTACTCGTACAGCACACCGGTGTGTTAGAGAGCAAAGCCACAACATTTACAATCTGAGTACGACGTTTCGACAGTAATTACAACTAGCTTAATCGACAGCCAGATTTGTGGAGAAATCATCCTGTTTAATTCCTTAAATAGAGGGGTAGATGTGATGACATCACTTGTGAGCAGTTCTTGCGTGAAGTGGGGGGGAATTAATTAATGCATATAAATGACTATGGGTATCCATTGCTGGTTGGGTTATTAATATGGTAATCAACGTACATAATTCATGTGCATTATGCACCTCCTATCCATTGTATGCACTAAAATAGCCGTACCTGTTATTGTTCAATGGTACTCCCTATTGAAGTATGGTGACCTGTATAGGCATGCATTTAAACAATGGTAAAGTGATGGTTTTGGTTGGATCCTCAGAAGGTTGTCTCCCCATGGCTGGGGAGGCAGCTTTGCGGATTGTACGGTCCGAGTATCCGTTCATCCTGAGGGCTTGGTGTACGTGCTCCAACTCACTAGCTAAGTGGTGCTGGTCGAAGATGCAACGGACATTATGGTATAGTGTTTTGATGAGGGAATTCTTCTGGGCTGGATGGTGGTGGGAATCAGGCTTTAGATAGGCATCCGTGTGGGTGGCTTTCATGTATACCGAATGTCCCAACGAGCCATCAGATCTCTTCTCGATCAAAACATCCAGGAATGGTAGCTTGCTATCCTTTTCTACCTCCATGGTGAATTTGATATACGGGTGTATGGAATTGATGTGGTTGAGAAATTAGTTTTAGTGCTGGCAGGCCATGTGGCCAGATGACGAACGTGTCATCTACGTATCTTTTCCACAAGCAAGGACGTAGGGTGGATGTCTGGATGGCATCTCCATGAAAACATTCGCTACCACTGGCGATAAGGGAGAACCCATTGGGCTACCGTCATTTTGTTTGTAGAATGTACCATTCCAGGTGACGTATGTGTTAGTAAGACAATGCCTTACCAAAGTTGGTTCATCAGGATTAAGTCCTTATTGGACCACGTCTTCAATGATTGCAATGGTGTCAAGTACAGGTACATTGGTGAACAGAGAGACTACATCAAAACTGACAAGCAAATCTGGAGACCATGAGATGTCCTTGATTAGAGAAACCAAGTGAGCTGAGTTAAGTACAGCTGAGGTGGACTTGCCCGTGAAAGGAAGCAGGGTCTCAGACAGAAATCGGGCCAGTTTGTAGGTGGGTGAGTTAATGGTGGAGACGATAGGACGGAGCGGATTACCTACTTTGTGGATTTTTGGAAGGCCATAAAATCTGGGTGGTGTAGCAGCCAAATGTTTTAGGGAGCTCTGCCTGGTCTGATCGATTAGAGAAGTCGATTTAGTGATGATATTGTTGGTTTTTGTGGCTAGGCGGTTGGTGGGATCTCTGTTGATTTTGGTATAGCTGCCATCATTAAGAAGGTCCTGAATTTTGTTGTCGTAAGTGGTTGTATCCGTAATGACAGTGACATTGCCCTTGTCGACTGAGAGGATGACAATGTCATCTCTGTTTTTTTTTTATTTAGAGAGTTCAAAACGATCGTCCTTGCTGATGTTACTAATGGGTTTCTTCGCGTTTTTGAGGATAGCAGCAATTTCAGATCTAGCAACGTCTGCCGGGATGTGTCTCAAGCCTTTGAGGGCTACATCGACCTGCGCAATTATATAATCCACTGGGATATGTTTAGGGGTGACTGCGAAATTCAACCCTTTAGCTAGTACAGATTTTAGACATGCAATACCTTGGTGTCTACAAACTGAGTTGTGGTTGTAGCAGCAGCTACATTGGGGAAATGAAACGACATGTCTCGGACCGCGTTCGTGAACACAAGGCAGATCTGAAACACGGTAGGACCAATACCTCTGCCGTTGCTGATCATTGTTTTAACGCTGTGGGCTCAAACGAAATTTATTTTTCCAAGACGGAGGTACTCTGCAAACCTACCAGCTACCTTCAGAGATTTGTTCATTAAGCCATCCAGATATATATACACAACTGCAACCGAGAAGATGGGTACAAACTGAGCAATCATTGGAAGGACGTTATTAACCACGTAAAGTCTTAACTGACTGTGATGTTTCCATCCTACCTGCCAATGTCAGCTGTTATTTCCGACTCTCTGTGTGTGTCTCTCTCTATGCCTCTCTCTTAGATCTGTCACATGTCCTTTGGATTGCACTCTCATGCTCACATGGCCTTTGGATTGCACTCTCATGCTCACATGTCATTTGGATTGCACCTCCCATGCTCACATGTCCTTTGGATTGCACTCTCATGCTCACATGTCCTTTGAATTTAACTCTCATGGTCACATGCCCTTTGGATTGTACTCACATGCTCACATGTCCTTTGAATTTAACTCTCATGCTCACATGCCCTTTGGATTGCACTCTCATGCTCACATGCCCTTTGGATTGCACTCTCATGCTCACATGTCCTTTGGATTGCACCTCTCAGGCTCACATGCCCTTTGGTTTGCACCTCTCAGGCTCACATGCCCTTTGGATTGCACTCTCATGTTCACGTTCTTTGGATTGCACTCTCATGGTGCTAATCTCTCATTTATACTGCTGTTGTGCGCATATGCGGGCATGATACTCTTGTGCGGTGATGGAAGCTCATTCATGCTAATCTCCCTCCCTAATCCCTCTCTCCCTAATCTTCCCTATTAACACAACTGACGTGGTTACGTTCGTGGATGCAATTACTTTCCAGCTCAGACCGTTTGCTTGCCCATCGCCACAAATATATAACTTTGTTGTAACTGCTCTCTCGCTGGTTCAGCAGTTCCACTGCTGAATTATATTTTTTTCCGCCTGAGGATGACCGCTTGTGTTGTGATCGAAACGTCGTGATATATTTGATTGGATTTTATACCTCCGTGACTTTACCGAAAGAACCAAAGAGTAGTGATTTACTCCTGATAGTAATCCTTACAATTTAAAGAATTGCATTTTAAAAAACAAATTCTATTTGTGCTTTTTTAATTCAATCCAAAAAGTTTCTGGTTAGGTCAGATTTGGTTGAGATTTCAGACCTCGGCTGAAAATTTGATTAGATTGAAATCGTCTGATGGATTTATTGGATGTCTATAATGCAATCCAATCATCGGATTGCTTAGGTGTATTATTAAGGGGGTTTTATTCCTTCTCAATGACGAATCTTAAACCATCTGTGGACAGACCCCAGCCTCAATACTTATGTAGTGTAGCAGCGCCGACTAGGCAGAGAGAAGTAGCAATTGTGGATGTACCCACCCAAGGGGAGACAGCATACAGGGGAAGGTGCAAGGGATAATAACTGGGCCAAGGGTCATGGAAGGGATCCATCTTTGAGCTCCCAGAACCAGCTAGAAGGTTCGAGAAGGGGGGCGTGGCCAGGGCAGGGCCGGGCCCCGCTGGAAGCATAAAAGGGGGCGAGAGAGGGAGCTCAGGGCTGTCTGTGGAAATCAGGGTCGTCTCGCCATGGAAGTCGTCCTCGTCGTCGGTGCTGTCCTTGCCATCGACCCGACGTCGCAAAAGTGCGAGGGGTGATGTTGCCATTTGCAAGCGCTTTCCTAGCACTTGGTCTCTCCACTTCGAACAAGCGGCAACACTGGAGACACAACGCCACCTATAAACAGAAAGTGCGAGGAAAACAACAACCCGACGTTGCCACTGGTGGATAGTCAGCCAGATATCCATTCAGTTAGCGCCGTCGAGCTTGACGGTCAGCATTACATTGTGCTCAGTCAGTCGTGTAGTGTGAGTACGAGTAATATAAATAAAGAAGGTGCCTCGACAGTTATTGTCTCCGGAGTCCTCCATTACACTTGTCTACAAGATAGATGTTTTACAATTAGCTTGCATAATCATTTATTTTTCACGAGTGGGATTGCTTTGATCTACATGATAGCTGCCCTATCCTTCCTTACAACCTTTTCACTAGTGAGAGCAAAACATGACAAACCTATTTATAAACACTTCACTTTAGGCAGTAATTTTATTCGACTTCAGTCATACAAAAAAGGCAACCCACATGAACTATATAGAAGACAACTGCATCATGAATGGACTGAGGACTGTAGAGTACAGTAAATGTTCATCTAGTCAGCTGTCTCAATAAAACAACAGCAATACACCCCCGTCCTAATATCCCAACAAGGAGAGAGAGTCCGTAAAAAACGATTATAATGTATAACGGGGCGAAGCGATAGTGCAGCAGTTACCACATTGTGCTATGGAGCCGACGACCTGAAATTGATTCCTGGCTACGGCAAACAATAGTGGTGATTGCTATCCGAACCGGTCCTGGGCCATAGTCCCCCCCTCCCCCAACTCCCCCACACCTTTACCGCCCCTTATACAATGAGATCCCTTGTTAGCTTGGTTCAGATGCACTGTGCGAGTGTGTTTGAAATATGGTTACAAAAAAAATCCCCCATGACTGACAAGGCATGGGGAGGTCTTCATCCACCAGTGAATTGACAAGGCACTGTACATTATTATTGTACATTAAGTGCCATTTGACATGTTGAACATTATTCATTTTCGTGCATTTCCTTTGCCAATTTTTATTCTCTAAAATATATACATTTTCACAAAAAACGTTTTATTTTCATATCTACATTTGCAATTGTGGGGTAGAAAACGACAACCTTCAACGTGGTCTTCCATAGATACGTGGTAAAACACAACAAATATCATCACTCCCGGTGAGCAAACATTAAAACCACCTGGTCAAAAAAAGCAATGGGTAACAATACAACATCGGAGGCAACCCTGAAGCTGATGAGATTTAATAAAGTCAAAATGAGTCCCGTCGTTTGTCGGCTTGAGACAAATTCTGCCGGCAAAACAATGCTCCAGAATACCCATCAAAGTTTATGGCTTTCGCGACCAATATAATCCATGAGGTTTTTTGACGAATTGCCATGTTCTGTTTACGTGACAACCCTTACTAGTTGGCCGTGCCGGGTAGCGGCGGGTTTTAACGACACATTTATACATTTACGCGATCACCGCCACATGTCCCGCCAATCTTCTTCTACTTCAAAGACAAATGTCCCATTATTGCACGGGATTAGGTGCTCAGATTATTTCTCTACAAACCTCTACGCTGTGATTCTTCTCTTGTCACATCGATAATCCTTACATCTCATTCCACCACATTCTTCCATTTCACCCTCGGTCTCTCTCTACTCTTTCGACCCTATGCACCAGGATCTCTCTCCATAGTCCTTTGAATTACATCATCTTATCAACACATGCCCAAACCCATCGAAGTCTCCCATACCGTCTTGTGATATCTGTAACCACTGTGGAAGCTTTAAAACTCCTTCATGCTGTCCAATCACGTCTCCAATATCCATCTATCATCTCCATCCTTTCAAGCACCTTTTGTTATTCTTCCTTAGCGTCACTTCGTCACATCTCAACACATGCCCAAACCCATCGAAGTCTCCCATACCGTCTTGCGATGTCTGTAACCACTGTGAAGACTTAAAAACTCCTTCATGCTGTCAAATCACAACATCCCCAATATCATCTCTCATCTCCATCCTTTCAAGCACTTTTTGTGAACTCTTCCTTCGTGCTCACATCTCTGCACCACATAACAGAGTTGGGTCGTATCACTTGATATATTTTCCCCATTCAGTTTGACCAGGAGCCAGAGCTGGTGGAGATGGAAAGGTACCAACTAGATAGAGTCAATCTCACCTCTACACCGAGCATTGGCACTGGAACCAAACTTCTCGATCGGAGGTGGTCTCTCTCCTATCCCAGAGTAACCCCTGGTCAGAGGCCCCGGGCGGGTGTGGGGATACTCATAAGCCCCTGGCTGGGTGCTGTTCAGTTGGAGTTTGTCCCAGTGGATGACAGGGTCACCTCAATGAGACATCTGGTCTCAGAAAGGAAAACTATGACTGTTGTCTGTGCTTATGCACCAAACAGCAGTTCAGAGTATTCGGCCTTCTTGGAGACGGTGGGGTGCAGTCCTCCACAGAGTGCTGCCTACCAGCTCCATAGTCTTACTGGGTGACTTCAATCCTCATGTGGGAAATGATGGAGATACTTGGAGAGGTGTGATTGGGAGGAATGTCCCCCCTGATGTGAACCTGAACGGTGAGATGTTATTGGAATTCTGTGCTAGTCACGGAATGCCAATAACAAACACCATGTTCGAACACAAGGATGCTCATAAGTGTACTTGATGCCAGTGCCCCTTGGTGCCGTAGGTCAATGATTGACTTAATAGTTGTATCATTGGACCTAAGGCCGTATGTTCTAGACACTTGAGTGAAGAGAGGGGCAGAGCTGTTAACTGATCACCACCTGGGGATCAGTTAGACGTGGAAGGCCCAAACGAATAGTTTGGGTGGAAGGACCCAGTGCATAAATATTTCAACTTCCACCTCCGGGAAAACGTATCCTGCACTCGAGAGGAGGTCGTGGACATCGAGTCCGAGTGGACAATGTTCAGGACCTCGATTGTGGATGCAGCTGCGAAAAGCTGTGCCCTGAAGGCAGTTGGTGCCTGTCATGGCGGCAACCCTAGGACACCAGTGATGAGGGAAGCTGTCGAGTTGAAGGAGGCTTTCCGAGCTATTCTTGGAAAAAGGTCTCCTGACCCAATAGAGAGGTACCAGCGTGCCAAGACGGGCGACAGCTACAGCAGTCGCTGAAGCGAAAGCCTGAGTGTGGAATGAGTTTGGAGAGGCCATGGAAATGTACTACTGGGCAGCCTCAAATATATTCTGGCAATACATCTGACGCCTTAGGGGGGGGTCGATGGGACGTGGCCCAGGCTGTTTTCAGTAAAGGTGGCGTAACATTGACCTCAACTAAGGAGATCGCCGAGAGGTGGAAGAAACACTTTGAGGAGCTCCTCAACCCGGTATACATGCCCTCCTTTCACAATGCAGCCCAAGAAATAACTGCTGTGGTCAGATCCATCACGGTTGCGGAAGTCACTGTGGCGGTCGAGGGCCTTCATAGCACCAAAGCTGCTGAGGTGGACGAGATTCGCCCAGAATTGTTAAAAGCGCTGGACTGTGTAGGAGTGTCGTGGTTAACACGCCTCTTCAATGCTGCATGGAAAGTGGGTATAGTGCCACTGTACTGGCAAACTAGGGTCATGGTTCCCATTTTTTTCAAAAGGGGACCAAAGGGTGTGCTCCAACGACAGAAGAATTGCACTCCTCAGTGTCCCAGGTAAAGCCCATGCCAGAGTGTTGGAGAAGAGGCTCCTCGCGGTGGTCAAGATTCAGGAGGAACAATACGGATTCCGTCATGGTTGTGGAACAATGGACCATCCTCTTTTCCCTTTCACAAATATGAGGGGTCATGGGAGTATGTTTCTCCAGTCTACCTCTGCTTTGTAGACTTGGAGAAAACATATGACCGTGTTCCTCGCAATGTCTTGTGGGCGGTGCTGCGGGAGGATGACGTACCGGTGCTGCTTTTGTGCACTATCCGGACCCTCTATTCCTGGAGCGAGAGCTGTGTCCATATTCTTGCTTTTAAATCAAGTCGTTCACTGTGGGTGTTGGACTCCGACAAGGGAGCATCTTGTCTTCACTCCTGTTTGTGATTTTCATGGACAGGATATCAACGCAATGCCGAGGTATGGAGAGTATCCAGTATGGGGGCATGGAGGTGGCGTCGATGTTTTTTACAGATGACGTTGTCCTCTTTGCCTTCCCACTCTCTGATCTCCAGCGTGCACTTGAACGGTTTGATGCGGAGTGCGTAGCGGCTGTGATGAGGATCAGCACCTCCAAATCTGAGGTCATGGTTCACTCCCGGGAGATGGTGAATTGTTCTCTCCAGGTGAGGGGGGAACAGCTGCCCTTAGTGGAGGAGTTTAAGTACCTCAGGGTCTCTTTCGCGAGTGATGGTAAGTTGGAGCGGGAGATCGGCCGGCGGATTGGTGCGGCGTCCGCAGTGTTGCGGGCGCTGTACCGTTCCGTGGTAGTGAAGCGGAAGCTGAGTCCTTGAACAAAGCTCTCAATTTACAGGTCGATCCAAATTCCCACCCTCACCTATGGTCATGAGCTTTAAGTAATGACCTAAAGGATGAAATCGCAAGGTACAAGGGGCCAAAATGAGGTTTCTCCTCAGGGTTGCCAGGCTCACTCTGTGCTAGGTTGAGGAGCTCGGTATTCCGGGAGCACCTCAGTCGAATCTGCTGTTCCTCCAGATCGAGAGGAGCCAGTTGAGGTGGTTTAGGCACCTGGTAAGGATGTCCCCCAGTAGACTGGGCGAAGACCCTGGGGCCGGCCCAGGACATGCTGGCAGGACTATATTGCTCGGCTAGCCTGGGAACGCCTGGAAATTCCCTAGGAAGAGCTGTGGCGAGGGAAAGGGAGATCTAGACCGTCCTCCTCAACATGATGTCACCGCGACCTTCATCAGCACAAGCTGAAATTTGATTGGGATCTCTGTCGCATACAGTTCCTGAAACCTCTATCGATTTGTGCCATCCTGTCTCAATTCTTTCCTTGACCTCCAACTCACACCATCCTTCCTCTCTTTTATACTTAACTACTCTAAAACTACTTTGGCCTGCACTTTATGTGCATCACTCTGTCCACAATATTAACGTCATCCTTTCTTATGGACTGCTGGCCTCTTTCTTTCTGGGAAATGACCATTCGTTTTCCCTACTCCAAGACATTTGCGCCATCACAGCCACCTGGCTTTCAGCTCCCCTTGCAAATGCCATAACAGCCACATCAGTAAACAAAATGCTTCCACAACAACCCTTTTTTCAGTTTCCTCACTCACTCAACACATTGCAACAGAGATGACAAATAGCAATGGTCTTAACGCTGATCTCTGACATAACCCGGTTAACTTCAAACTCTTCCAACCACACCTCTTTGTCCATAACCACTGCCTTCACCCCATTATACATTTCCTTAAACTATTCTCAACCAATGATCTGGTTCGCCTTCCCTCCGCAGACTTCAACATGCAAAATCCCTCAGCGCATTTATCAAAGGCTTTGTTCAAAACTGTCAAAAATGTGAGAGAGAAAAAAACTGTCCCGCCAATATGCATCAAAACCCCCGCGGAAATTTCAGTGAAGGGCCGTCGTCTCTTGGAGTTTTGGTTGTGCATACGCACGCGTGCATGCATGCCTTTGTGCAATACTGTGTACGGTGAATTGAAATGAAAGTCAAATGTCCTTCTAATATTTAAAACAATGTGTTAAAATCGTAACCACAAGCCTGAGGGCCAACATTGGTAATTCCAGTGTAAGTGGTCATACTTATTAAACCAAGGATTTCAATGAACTTCAAGAAACATTTACACTCATGTGTAGACTGTAAAACATAAATTATCTTTTAGGGCTGTGAAAGACCCAATGCTGAAGATCCTCCGACTTCGATCTTCTGCAAAGCTTATGGGCCACAGCAGATACTTGAAGCACAAATGGAAAATTATAAAATTTCCAGCAGTGTGTAGCGACTCTGGTCACCCAGAACAGAACCATGGAACATATAACAAAAATTAAAATGTTTTTTATTTTATCAGGTAAGGCCCCACTGAGCTATATAGCTCTTTTTCAGTAGCGTCCTGGCCACAAATGATAGCTCAACGAAGTGGCTTATCATGTGCACATTTCTTGCAGCCAAATACTATAAATGCACGTTGATTCTAAATGCGGAGGTAAAAACCGGAGGACCCGGAAAAAAATCCACGCGACCTCAGGGAGACAGAAAGACATGCAAACTCAAAATATACAGGTGTCGGTATCGAGATCGAACCCACTAACTCCTGTCTACCAGGCGAGGTATTTAACATCTCGCCACCGTGGCGCCAACGCAATGGACTGATTCACAAATATGAAGGCGGCAACATCACAGCGATACCCCACTCCGCGCGCTACTCCTGACGCAACCATCTGGCTCAACCACCTTAATGTAAAATTATAGCTGTGTTGCTCTATATCAGCCATTCTAACAAGGGTTGTGATGTCGTGGATTTTTAGAATGCTGATTCCAAGGAGCATTGGCCATAGTTTAGTAAAATCACGTTATAAACTTCCCATGAAAACAAACAGACACATTCCTAAATTGTTGTGAGGCTGAATAATGGTTAGTTTTCACAAAAGACAAAATTAAATGTAACACCACGTTGGTTTTCCAAACCAATATTATTCCTCAAAGTTTTTTCGGTTTGATCGTGTAAATGTGTTATAAAAACCCACGTCCACCCGACGCAGCCAATTAGTGAGGTTTGTCACGTGAACAAAATGTGCCAATTAGTTACTATTACAGTCTTAAATAGAGTAAGGTGATGTCAACAAACCCCCTGGGTTTTTTGCACCTTATAGGCACTCAGTGATGACGTCGCCTTTACTCTAATTAAGACCGGAAACAGGAAGATGTCTTCACAAGTATGGCAATCACCTGATGAAGCTGGCTGTAATCAGCAGCAAAACGTCACGGTACTTAAATTGTACTGTGAAGTGTGGATTTACTGTAACTGGTATATTTTGTTCACGTGACAAGGTGGGTTTACAACACATTCACGTTTATGCGATCTCACCCAAAAAACGTTAATATTAGCAAGTATCACCGACACCAGTTTGACCACGCCTAAACGTTCACCATATTTCTCAAAGGCTGTCGCATGCGTTGACGTAACATTTTTACAGGGATTTTTTTTACAGGAATAGCCGCTGCCCCTGCTATCATCCCACTATTCATTTACATTCTCAAACGTCAGCGGCATGGGGATTTTTAAGTTTGGATAATGCCATTTTAAAAAGCAAAACATTTACAATTCAGGCAAGTAATTTCTGTTCTTTAAAGTTAAGCGGTGGCACAAGAACTGTTATTGATGACAATATAAAAAAGCAGGACACAAATTAAACAGAACAGCGTCCATACATGGCAATTTAAGAGATCAATTAAGCCTCAGTAGTAGACTTATCACCACAGTTATCGTAATATTGCTTTCGAGATTTATTTTCTCTCCATGGGAAGCAATTCCTGTGTTTTTTTTGTTATCGTATGGAATAAATTTCCACGCAAATTGAAAATACTTCTTCGAATACTTCTTCGAAGGTAAGCCCCATTAATTGGCAGGGGTAAAGTGGTCTTGCTTACCGAGGCCATCGAACCCAGCTATCCAGAGTTTGATACCAGCTAAGGCTAACATCAGCAGTGAGAGATATCGGAATAAATCTTGGGTGCCTCTTAACCTTCACCAATCCCCACCATGCTCCACAATACGGTTGGAGCATCATTAAATGGTGTCGACAATCGACACTGTCTGGAGGTGTTCATCGAGTGGAAAACAAAAAAAACGAAGGGTAGCTTTCCTATGATTACAAAATGGGGGAAAATACTTCGATTCCAGGGTTTGTTTGTTCTGAAAATCACTTTGGCTGAGGCAAGTCCTCAGGACGGATCTTTTTAACGGGCTTTTTCCTCTTGCGGACGTTCCCTCTCGACTCACTCTTCCTGGGGTCGTTCGATTCCACCTGGCTTATTGTGGGCTCGTTTGTACGAGTCTCACTCTGATGCTGCTGCCTACTTTCTTCATGTTCGGACATTCGAGCCTTTTTGTGCTGAATATAGGCATCCTGAAGATCGTGTGTCCACGACTCGATTCGATTCTCCCCGGGCTCCTGATCCTTCAGCCCGCCTGGCCGAGCTCCGTTGCCGTCAGCGGCCTTCGCCTGCAGGCTACTGCTGCTCCCCTGGCACTTGACGCGGTGGCGCTTGTAGTTGCTGAGCTGCGCGAATGCCTTGCCGCAGACGTCGCACTTGTGCGGCCTCTCGCCCGTGTGCTTGCGCATGTGGATCTTGAGCTCGCAGTAATAGGTGAAGCCGCGGCCACACTCGTCGCAGACGTGCGGCCGCGGCCCGGCGTGCGCCCGCTCGTGAACTACCGCGTCCTCGTGCAGCGCGAACGAGCGCCCGCACACGGCGCAGACGTGCGGCCGCTCGCCCGTGTGCACCACGTGATGCCGCCGCAGGTTACTCATCTGCGTGAAGGAGCGTCCGCACACGGTGCAGACGTGCGGCCGCTCGCCCGCGTGCTGCCGCATGTGGGCGCGCAGTGCGGCGCCCTCCGGGTACGTGCGGTCGCACACGCTGCAGCGGTGCGGACGCTCGGCCGAGTGCCGCTGCCGCTCGTGGGCGTTCACCTGCACCTCGGTCATGTATACCTGGCCGCACACCGCGCACGGGTAGCCCGGCGCGCCCGTGTGCAGCTTCATGTGCGAGTACAGGTTCTCATGGTGATGGAACATGCGCCCGCAATCCACGCAGCGCAGCTGGGGCTTGTCGCGGCCGCCGCCGTCGTCGTCGCTGTCACTGTTGGCGGCCGAGGCCTGCTTGGCGACGGCTTCCGATGGCGGTGGCGGTGGCGGTGGTGGTGGCGGCGGTGCACTGCATGTGGATTCCACGCTGCTCGGTACGGGCGGCCAGACATTGGTGGGCGGGGAGATGACCGTGGCCACGTTCAAGCAGTCTTGGTTAGTGCTGTCCTGTAGCATGCTCTGGTGAAGCCACGCAGTTTGGAGAAGCAGGAAGCGGGTACCCTCCGATGAGCCCATGTTTTGGATGACGAATCCCTCCATGTCCTTGTCTGCAAGAGATTGTATTATTACAGAGAGCAACTTCACATTTTGTGAAATAGGTAATCGAGGAGTTTAAGTTAAATTATATATATAAAAAAGAGTTTAAATGTAGATTCATGTGACGTTTGTCAGTTCTGCGATCTGCAGAACCTCAATGGAGCTGATAGATTGATGACTTAGCAGCTTAGAACGTCTACACACTGCATAAAATTTAGAATCAATAATAGTCAGAATGTCTTCCTGTGCCAATGAACAATGTGGTAGCTAGCTCTCATAACAAAATACATGCTAACCCCATTCATCATCATGGGATCTCCTTTACCAGTACCAAAATATGATTAAAGGTTTTTCCCCTTTTTCTGGCAACAAAACAGGTGTTAAGATGTTAAAACACCAAACTGAAACCTTTTACAAGGAATCATGTCTGCATTAACCACAATGCTTGTGGTCCGAATGCAAACAAAAAACATACTCTGATAATATATGCATTGTCCTCTCATTACTCTGATAGTGCATTGTCTTTGGGCTGTACGCCTTTTGGCGTCCTCTGGTCTAACACCGTTTGAGACGAGGCTCAAAAGAAATCTGTCTCTGGTGTGGACCAATCCGTTTCAAGGACAATGCATATATTATCAGAGTATGTTTTTTGTTTGCATTTTGACCATAAGCATTGTGGCCAGCACTTAAGTCAGGTGCTGTTGTATACATGGGCTTTAAGAGGTGGGCAGGATATAGCAGCACAGTGATGGGATCAATCCACAGGTAAATTCAACCAACTGGATCTGTTTGTGTGTGGAGCTTTTGAGTGTTATCCCCTCGTGTGTGCGGTGTGGGCTGTCCGGTTTCCTGTCCATACGAGTCCAAAAAGATCATACATTTGTGGATTGATTCAACCATCCCAATGTAGAACCTTCACAAACAGGAGTCTTGAGATTTTGCCGGGTTAATAATTAGCATTGCACATGGGCCGTGTGTGCATGTGTATGCCTGGCACAAGCGTCGTGGTGACGTCACCACCACTTAGTGGTGAATGGCGGCTGTTGTGAGATTGTTAGTTGCCTTTCCAGTGTTAAAACCTTTTACCTCCATCTGCGGTGAAGCTGGTCGTGGCTTGCGGACCATCTCTGCCGTGACAAATGGGGATCGTGGTCGGTTCCACCATAGCAGCCCCCACTTCACCTCCGCCGCCACCTTGACTTGCGCCAATGGCAGACATGTCCACCGCAGCCTCTTTGTACGTGGGGCTGTGCAAGTTCAGGGCGGGTGCCGTCACCGACACCAGGCCTCTCTGTTGCTGATATTGCTGCTGCTGCTGCTGCATATTCATGGCAGCTCCCTGCATCTCCAGGCCAAAACAACGTGAGTTTGCGGCGGGCTCTCCGACTGCAGCCACCAGTTTGCTCCCGTCGGGGCTGCCTATGCTGACGACGGCAGGCGCCCTTGACATGGTCTCCTGCTCCTGCTGTTCGGAATCGCGAAGGTTCACTGCCACAGCGACCAACTCATCCCACAGAGGGCGGCTCTTATTTCTGGTGAACGATTCCGTCGCGTTGCCCGACGGCTCCTGCTGCGCGCCAACGGAGGGCTTTCCCACAGCGGTTCTCAGCCCCTCAGCGCAAGCGCTTGTGGAGGCACTCGGTCCATTCCGCCTGTCGACGGCAAAGGGTGGCACCGCTGCCGTGGATGCCTGCTCCTTCCGGCCAGGCTCTCGAGTGCTGTCGGTGGTGGGGTCTGGCGCTTGTGCTTTCGCCTTCTCCTCATGCGCGTTGCTGGCAGGAGATTTTGCTACTGGCGCCTCAACTTCCTCCACCCCCAAGAGATGCGCGGTGGTGCCAGCCTCCAACATCTGATGCCCAGAGCCCTGTTTCCAAATGGCAGGTGATCCCAATGTGGGCACCTGCTGATCCTTTATGTGGGAATGTGAGGTCGTGGCAGGTTTCTCCAGCAAGGTCCTCAACTGTGGCAGGTGCTTGCTGCTGCTGGTTTTACTGCTGCTGATGTTAGAGGTTGAGGCGATAGTGACGCTGCTCGTGCTGGTACCAGAAGTGGTGCTGCTCTGTTTGCCGGCGGCAGTCAATTCCAACTCAGATTCCTGCTGGTCGCTCCCGTGGTGGCGTGCGCTGGTGGAAGACTTTTTCTGCTGTTGTTTGCTGATACTGTTTGTGCTGCTAGTGTTGGTGCTACACGTGCTAGTACTTGTGGAACGCTCAAACATCTGTGGGTAGATGTCGCCAATGGATATTTCCATTATGGGCCTCTGTTGCACCCTCGTAATATTACGCGGATGCCTCCCAGAGGGCAGTTTGTCCACCAGGGAGCCATGCTGGTGACTTCCCCCGCTGCTCTGCGACTCGAACACCGTGCCTTCCCCCCCACTGTTCATGCCGGAGCTGTGGATTCTGCTGATGGGAACCTCCTTGATGGCCCTGTGCTCAAACCTAAGGCCAGACGAAAATCTGGTGCCCATGATGGGCCTTTCAAGCAGCACCCTCAGCTCCTGCCGCTGTCTGCTGGTGGCCACGCCGGGGGTGCACAGCACGGGGATGCGTGCGGGGCCATCCATGGGGATTTCCGACAGCGGCCTCTTCTTGAGAATGCTGTGGATAAGCGGATCCGTCGACGACCCCAGCGTTCTCAGCACAGGGATGCGTAGGGTGCTGCCGACAGGCATTTCCAACATGGGACTCTGCTCCAGCATGCCTTGCTGGTGTGCCACGGATTTGTCCTTCTCCGGACCCTGGCTTGGAGTGATGTTGGTGGCCGGTTCTGCAATGCATTTCTGTTCCTGTGGACCAAGGCTTGGCGTTTGTGTCGTGGCTAACTCAGCGACAGATTTATCTTTATCTGGCCCATGGCTTGGTGCGATGGTCGTTAATAACTCTGCAACAGATTTGGGATCCTGTCGTCCATGGCTCGGTGTACTGGTGGCAGTTTTCTCTGCTGGAGCTCCTGGTTTCTCTGGCCCATGGCTTGGCGTGATGGTGGCGGATAAATTCAATTTCTCTGGCACAGGACAAGGAATGACATTGACAGCGAATTCTGCTGCAGTTGTTTGTACTATTGGCTCATCACTTGGTTTGCTGGTGGCCAGTAACTTTGCCACAGTTGTCTGTATCTCTGGCACAGGCTGAGGCACGATGGCGGTGGGCGATTGCATCACAGCTCTCTGTTCCTCTAGCACAGGCAAATGTGTGACATTGCCGATCTGAATTTGCATTAACGGCCTGTAATCAACTCTCGCATAGCGCTCTGTGCTTTTGGAGGGCAGTTCCACCACAACCCTTTGTTCCCCCGCGGGCCCTTGCCACGGTGTGCTGTCGGGACATACGTCCAACAAGTCTTTCAAACTCTCAGTGTGAATGGTGGTGATAGGCGAATGCGGCCTCGATTCTTGTTCGTCAGTTTCTTCGCCAGGCAACTCTGCCATGGCACCGTTCTCCTGCCACGCAGTGCCATGCACGACAGCAGCCATCGTGGTGTCGGCAATGGCAGGTGGTTCATTCGATAAAGCTTCCCGCGGTTCTTTGAAAGTGCCAATGACAGCCGCCGGCTCCAGCCACCCCGGACTACGAGCACATGTGCAATGTACTTCCGCCAGATCTCTGGGTTCCTGTTGTGCACTGGTGCCAATATTTGTTAAAGGGTTTCTCGGCTCTTCTTGGTGGACACTGGTGGCAGCTGTGGTGGCTTCTTGCCAAAGAATAGGTCCGGAGGCAGATACTGACGCCACCGTCACTGCTCCTAGGTCCTCCATCCAGCCAGAATTCTGTGTGCCGATGGTGGGTGCTAATTTTAAGGCTGCTGGATCTTCTTCGTGCATGACGACAGCGGCTTCTTCTTCCTCATACTCTTGTGATCTCATTTCCTCCACTTGCTGGTGGTGCTCGTCCGTCGTGGTGGGCATTTCTGCCGATTCTCTCGACCCGGGACGTGCCGTGCTGCTGCTGGCAAGATTCACTGCCACGGCTAACAGTTCCTCCCAACCATGGCTCTGAATTTTGCCGGTAGGCGGTTCCATCATGGCACCTGACACAGCCAACTGGGGGGATTGCGTATCGACGGCAGGCAGATGATCATCCTGTATGTTGCACCGTGCACTGGTGGCAAGCCTTGCCAGCAGGGATCTCAACGTCTCCTGGTGCTGGCTGGTGGTCTCCCCCAACATTGGCAAGTTGGGGCCATGGGTGCTGGTGGCAGGGAGGTCCTCTACGTGCGTGTTGACAGCAAGGTCCACAGCCGTCGCCACAAATTGTTGCAAACCAGAGCCGTGTGTGTTGGTAGCGGGCGGCAATCGCAAGTCTGATGCTTGTTCACTTTGCCCGAGACGTTGCGTGCCGGTGGCCGGCGCTCCCGAAGTGGCATTTGGTTTCCATTCATGTCCTCTCATGGCAGCTTCTGGTCTTGCCCACAGCGCGAGGCGCGCGTCCATGGCAGGTGTAGCAGTCATAGCCCTGAGCTCCATCCAGCGAGCATCTTGCGCTTTGGTGGTGGGCGCCAGCGACAAGCCTCTCTGCTCCTTCTCGGGTTGCGTGCTGTTGGCTGGCAGTGTGCTCTTGGGAGGTGGAATAACAGCGGTTACCTCCTCCCTCCACTCAGGGCGGTGTCTACCCTTGGCGAGGTTTAGCGCCACATCACCCGGGTCCTGCCAGCAGCTGCTGGCGCCAGTCGTGAGCATCTCAATCTCTTGGTCTTGCGCTTCTCTGGCAGGGGGGCCCGTCACGGTCTCCCATCCCATGGAGCGAGAGGTGACAACGGTGGGATGCTCGGCAGCGGACGTCCATTCCCTCGGCCACGGGCGGTGTGCATTGGTGGCAGGCCCTGCGGCCAAAACGCTGGTGGCGGGCGTTTCTGCCACAAACCCTCGATCCTCCCATGCAAGTGGACGAGTGGCGATGACGGGGGCCTCCGCTACCTCTCTCGGCTCCTTCTCATTGTTGCTGCTGCTGGTGGTGGTGGTCATGAGTTCCGTCCATGTCTGGCGCAGAGCGCTGGTGCCAGGCAGCGTCGCCACGGCAGCCCGCTTCTTCCATCTGTGGACGCGGGCGTTCGTGTCAAGGTCAAGCACCACGTCCGTCGGCGGTTTCCCCACAGGGGGGTCGCATACGTCGATGGCGGGCGGGACCCCTATGGCCGCGCGTTCATGGTGCTCGGAGTGGCGTGATCCGATGGCGAGGTCAATGGCAACTTCCTGAACCTCCTCCCCGTGGTAGGAGCCCATGCCAGGTGCACACTCCACCAAGACGGAGCCACGTGTGCCGATGGCAGGCGCGTCTCCCGCAGCCCCCGACTCTTTCCTCCTCCCAGGCTGGTTTGGGACGATGGCAGGCACGACTGCTACGGGACAATCTTCATCCCAGCTGGGGTCGTTGACGTCGGTGGCAGATTTGCTCGCCACGGTTGCCGAATCCTCCTGGTACGCACACGCGGGAGCCTCCGGTGTCTTGCGCGCATCCATGGCAGGTGTCGTTTCCGCCTCGGCTACTTGTTCCTTCCAGTCGGTGAGGTTCGTTCCGATGGCAAGATTGACCGCCACGGCCACCAGATCCTCCCAACTGCTGTTGCTGCTGCTGTTGTTTGCATCGGTGGCAGGCAATTGCTTCTCCATCTGCGGAAGTTCTTCATCGATCGGAGACTCCTCTACGCCGGACATCTGCTCGTCTGGCTCACAGCAAGATGCGCTGGTGGCGGGCCTCACCAGCGGGTCCCCCAGCTCCTCGGTTCCCTCGCTGGCGGCTGCGTCCATCGTCTCCATCTCGGGGTTGGCGGCGGTGGCAACGACAGGGGTAGGCGAAACCCCCGCGACCGCCCCTTCCTGTGGACCGCCGATGGAATCCTCCTCCACAAAAGTCAGCTCCTCCTCGCAAGCGCCGGCAGCGGCGTCCCGCGGCTCCTGCACGGCGCCGTGCGCGCCGGCGGCGGACAACGGCAAACTGGTCACGGGTTCTATGCCCTCCCGCTCAGGGACGTCATAGCTGGTGGCGTGGCCTTCTGCCACAGGTCCTAGATTCTGTGGCTCGGGTTGGTCCAGCTCCTCCTCAACTTCCGGCAACAACTCGAAGGCTTCTCCTGCACCCAGCAACAAAACAAGGCACTCGGTTGGACTCGCAATCACGCCTCCTCTCCCCTTTGTCGTACTAGTCGTGTGTTCACGACCTCAATATTGGTGACGAAGCCACTCCACCATGGGGACCTTTATTGCCAGTATCAAAGTATAAAAATAACAATAGGTTTTTACCCTTTTTGGTAATAAAACTGGTGTTAATATGCTTACCCCGATCTGTAAATGCTCTGATACGTTCATTGTTTTTATACTGTTTGCCTTTTGGCATTCCCTCGTCCGACACTGGTGGTGAGACTGGACCATAAAGAAGGCTCTGGTGCAGGCTAATCAGTTTCAAAGACAATGTTTATATTATTACCAGAGCATGCTTGTTTGCATGTTCACCACAAGTACTCGTGGTGAACGCAGACTTGATCCCTTGCAGAAGCCACTTCACTCCCCCCCCCCCCCCATGCATTTTGGGATTTGCAATAAAATTTGCGACACCTTCCTCCTGGTTAGATTTACTGTCTGTTCATCGTAGCCTCTTGTTTGTCGTAGCCTCTCTAGCTCATCATCATTATCAGCCGTAATGAAATCGATAAAAATGCTGGCTACAGCCAACTCAAGGCCTCCCCAAAGTTGCTGCCACCTATTTTGACTGGTTAAACATATTTGTGATCTGCACGACGTTAAGGAGGCCCCTAATGGAGCAGTGATCCAACAATGTACGTGTACAGTACAAATTCTCCGGCGATTTGGCTCAAGGCAACTTGGTCACATTCCACCATCCACGCCCATCACCCAGTGCAAAGGTCGCTCACTCGACAAACTGAAATCGTGGCTTGCACTGGCCGCTGCCACTGGCTCCACGTGTGGTTAAGTACGACAGAGTAGCCCCCCCCTCCTCCCCCGCCGACAGTGATCCACATTGTACCGGGAGGCCCCTCGTCCAGCAGCGGATTGACTTAAGTGGGATATATGGACGGTGAGGGTGCTCGGTGGTGGAGCAATCGCCGCTTGTTGGAGACTGCCGTGCTTTTTTTGAGCCCAGCGGCCGCCCAGGTCAAATGCTGCCAGGCGCATTAGCCGTGAAAAAAAAGCGACCGTCTGCTCTACGGTGGACAATAAAGATCTCACAACGGCACAAGAAACAACAGAGGAGGGCGTTTGTCGCGAAGAAGGGCACGTGCAGCAAATGGTTCAAAGTCGCAAGTCTTCATAAATAATGTGCTAATCACTAAATTGGGAAAAGCCACACGGCGATATCGCCCCCTATAATGGCATGGGCTCATGCCCATTGTTGACAGGCCGGTGGCTGCATTCACTTTTGTGCCGCAAAAGGACAGCTGTTACGGGGGAGCGGGGGGGGGGGGGTTCCCTTGGGCTAGACTGTCGCAAGGTGCCTTGACATATACGTTGAACTTCTTTCGCACCGTACGTACCCAGCAGTGATCGTAATTACCGCCGAGACGTCATGGTACTCGATTGGTAAATGTTGTGGGTTTATTCTCCAACACACTGGTGTGCTGAACTGGTAGCAAATTGCCATGTTCTGTTTATGTGACAACCCCTTACTTAATTGACTGCGTCGGGTGGTGGCGGGTTTCACGACACAAAAAAAGACCTCTATTATGCATAATAATATTGGTCGCGCAAGCCTAATATGCGCTAAACTAATCGGATGTGTATTGCATGGGAGGCACGGCACGTATCATTGTGACGTCGGTGTACAAGAATGAATGAACGGCGGCTCACCAGCACATGTGTGCGGCTCTCTCTCCACAGAATCATCCACCACCTCCTCCAACCGGGAGGAGTCGTCAGTCGTGATGCCATGATCAGACGTCGCCGACGAGATTGGCGAGTAGTGGCCGCACAGGTCCAAGGCCACGCTCGTCTCCATGGGCAAACGGGCCAGGGGAGGCTCTGCTGTGACAGCAGCGGCTGTTGGCGGCACAGGAATGGGCGGTTATCAGGTGAGCGTCAAGAAACAGTTGTGCCGTTATAGGTCTCTAACGTGTCTCCGGGTTGTGTCCGCGGCGTGTTGCTCGGGGGTGCGATGTCTCAATATTTCGCCCACCTCCACATGCTGCTGGAAGGTTCTTCGGGGAAATTAACCGAAAGCTCCCAGCAAGAGGAGCGAAATGTTGGTACACTGTGCCCAACGGCCCAGGAAAGCCACGCTGATGGCGTTGGTGTTATTCATTAATAAATATTGTTATATTGTATTCTTGTGTACGGTAAACATGGTTCAGGAGCTGAACGCCAATGTCGAGGTCTGCTGCTGGCCACGAGGAAGAGGGCTTCGGGAAAGCTTGTGTGGTTTTGCTATTCCTCCTCCGCTGAAGGAGCACAGACTACAGTAGTTTGAAGGATACGGGCACCATAGTTTGGGTTGCATGGTCACAGTCACGCTGCTGTGGTTTGCATTTAAATTTCGAATCATGGAGGTGTGCACAGGGGCCTGTTCACGACGTCCAGAAAGTGTCCGACTGCGTAGATGAAACAAGATCAGCAGGGTGTAAAAAGATAGAAACGTATTTGATAACATCACTGTGTGTGCAGTGACGTCAAAGATGCAAAATGCTTCAGGAGAGCAAACGGATGTGGGGATACATTCACTGCTACTAATATTCTACTGAGAGGCGGCACAGTTGACAGGTTAATCGTGGGCTTTGCCTGGTAGGATGGGGATGGTTTAGTTTTATTTGTATGTGGTTTGGTGATTTGTTTATCTTTCTTGTACTTTACACTGCTATCATATTTTTGTACTTTGTATTGTTGTAACGTTCTTACCACGTGCCCCTACCGGATTGCTCATCGGATTCCTCCAGTATAAATAAACATTCTGATTCTGAATAAAATATATCAATGTACCTTTTTGGAGCTTCACATTAAAATAAAATATATTATTCGGTCTATTGGTGTCGTGGTTTATTGGCCTTATATACTTTTATTACCCAACGGCGTGATAACACCAAACACGTCTCAACCGTCAGGTCTTGGTAAGAGCAACTCGCTCTAAACCACTCAATCCTTATTGACTGATCGGTTGCTATTTTCGTCAATGTGTTACTCTCCAAAGATGCTTTGTTATACAATTTTGCTCACTGCATATTGCAATCTACGGCACACATTGATCAGATACATTTGACACCGACGGCAAAACCGGAAAAGTGTTAAAAAAGTGCGCAGAGTGGCACGGAAATAGGAACACGTGGGTTAAGATAATGTAGTAACACCGGATAACTTTTGCTGTTCATAAAAGTGAGGCGAGTTTGTGCAGGACGTCGTTAGGGGGAACGACGCCCAACGTGTCACGGAGAACGACAGTGGCAGCCAAGGGAGGGGAATCGTGCCCTTTGAGGTGCGCCGGCCACAAAGAAGGAGTAGCGATGCAATCAACTCTTGTTGCAGGCGACAGGGTCGGTGACAGTCTTGGGCGAGGCCTCCGTCCAACAGCGGATTTGGTCATCGCCGATTGTGGAGGACGGCCATGACACACCGGCACACTGTCGCTGGGCAGGGTTTTAGTTCCCTTTTTCCGCTTAAGCGGGCTTCTGAATGACTGTATCTGAACCGCCGATCTTCGCCCCCACCCCAGGCACAGAATGTTCGATTCGTTCCAAAGCAACAGCTGCGCCGCCCCCGACTGTCCACCAACAGGACGTGTCCATTGAGGCGGACCGTGTTGCGCAACCCTTGCCCCCTCGGTCAATGTGCGCAAACCACCGCAAGTCACTTTGCAGTGCCTTGCCACCTTATCTCCTCCCTTAGGAGGCGAGCAGGGTGAAAAGTCAACAAAAAGCTACTTTATACAATTAAACAAAAAATATTTCTGCGAGAGGAACAAATGGGGGAAGCAGCAGCTCATCATCATCACTCGTTTTTTCCCCCTCCACATTTAAAAAAGAATAGGTGTTTAGAGAATTTGGCTGTGTCGACACGATAAGCCACTTCGTTGAGCTATCAATTGTGACCAGGTCGCTTCTGAAAAGAGAGGTACTACCATGTTTCAGATCTACCAGTTATGTGTTACTTATTTATTGAATATTTACTTTTGTTACTTATTTACTGTTTTAAGTTCACTCGTTTCCGGTTAGTTTGTTTTATTTGTGCACGTTATGATTATAATGTTAACAATTGATAGTGGAATGTATTACAAATGTAAACTTTGTATTAATATGATGGAATTAAGCTGCGGTAATGACGTGAAAGATATGAATGCATGCAGGGTATATGGAGGTACGGGCTATCTGAAATTTGTTTTACACAAAACGCTATTTTTGCGGGGTATATGCGTCTGCGGGTTATATGTGTATGCGGGCTATACGCGGGAAAATACGGTACTTTGCAAACCCACTGGCTATCAACAAAGATTCGTTCATGAAGCCATCCACATATACAGACACAACTTAAATCGAGAAGATGGGTATAAACTGAGCAATCATTGGAAGGACGTTATCAACAAGTTCAAGTCATAATTGGCTGTGATGTTCCCATCCTACCACCTTCCGATGTTAGCTGTTATTTTCGGCTCTGATTTTACATTAACAGGTTCAATTTCCCACACTAACACAGCCTACTCTCTTGCCAAGCTCGACATTGCTGCTCTGCGATCTTACATTAACATGCTAATCTCTCACATTAACATAGCCACCTCCATTCCCTCGTCGTGGAGGCCGCTCTCTGATCTTACATTAACATGCTAATCTCTCACGTTAACATGCTAATCTCTCACATTAACATGCTAATCTCTCACATTAACATGCTAATCTCTCACATTAACATGCTAATCTATTACATTAACATGCTAATCTCTCACGGTATCATCACCAGCCCCGCCCACTTCGTTTATGACCCTTGGGCTACACCCATTTTAAACCTTTAAAACAGTCTGCCTTAGAAACTTTTCCCCTCTTTTTGCCTCATGATGACGGCCGCTTGTGTTGTGATGGAAACATCGTAGTTTTTAAAACATTTCTTTGAACCTATCTCCGTGACTTTACCGAAAGACCCAAAGAATAGGTGTTTTTCAGTCACCTTCGCCCGAAAGCCCACTTTTCTTAATGCTCAAAATGTGCATTGTTATACTTTGGCACGTTTTTTTTTTTTTTCTCAAGTCTCGCCCTCCTCCCAAGCATTTACCACGAAATTTTCAGATCTTTATTGTTACACTTTTCCAGTCGAGGACCACGATCCTGACCGTTATGTTCAAGGGCATGACAAGGCAGCTAATTGATCCTATTATTAACTACGCGGATAGGGTGATTATTTACCGCAGATAACAGGCTATACCTACTACAATCACCGAGGAATGTTTGTTCTTAACGCTCGTGATGTCACTTCACATCGACCAGCCACCCTCATTGATAATCATGAACAGGTTACGTCCTCCAAATGGACCCGCCCCTCATTAATAATCATGAAGGGGTGACATCACTCCCCATGGATTAACCCCCCCCCCCCTTATTAATAATCATGAGCAGGTGATGTCACTCCACATCAAACAGCCCCCCTCATTAATAATCATGAACAGGTGACGTCCTCCAAATGGACACCCCCCTCCATTAATAATAATTAGAGGGTGACGTCACTCCACATGGGGGGGCGAGGCACCTCCTCCCCTCTCCTCAGCGTCAAATTATAACCCTCACTACACGTCACGCAATCTCCATAACGCTATTGAGACATCAAAGTAAAAAGGACGTCAATATGAACAAGGGATTATAACCTTTAAATGAAATAAGTCTGTGTCACCGCGGCCTTACAAATTGCACACGAATGGATGCAATGAATATCACGTTGTGGTCTGCTTTTCGCTTGCAAGTTTAAGATTTACTGCAACACACCCATCCTTGGACGGGCAAAAGGATAGCTTCTAATAGTTACCCCCGCATTACTTTGCATACGAGAAGTGTACTTTACTCCCCATGTATATGGCTACTGAGCCAGCGTAAGATTAATGGTTTATATGTTATTGGCATCAGCCTGTACACATCACGGTAAGAAATGAACGCAAACAAGAACTGAAGTTCGATAATTGCTTCACCTACTGCTTAGAGCTACCAAGGACTAAACAACATAGAATGCAGTTTAACGCGTAGGCTTTCGCGACGAATATTATCCATAAGAGGTTTTTGGGTTAGATCGTGTAAATCCAGATCACAAATCTGGCTGCCGCCTGATGATGCTCGTAATTACTGGCGAAACGTCGTACTCAAATTGTAAATGTTGTGAATTTACTCTCCAACACACCGGTGTGCTATACTATCGTAGTGCAGTAGGACCACGCGGAGATGAGGAATACTATAAGGGCCGTTGCCGTTTATTAAACCACTATCACACTCGACATCCTACACTGACACTAGTGTAGGTGTACTCTATCACGGTCCTTTACCTCGGACACTGAATACTATTCGGGTCCTACCCTTGGCTACCCTTTGGGCTCTCTCACTTGTCTGCCTGGAGCGGAGGTTCAGCCAACACCGCTCCGCGACGAGGAGAGAGACCCTCTTCAGCCGATCCTTACCCTGGCTCCCCACAACAACAATGCCTCCGTCACGGGGTCCCCCTTCAGAACCCCTTGGGTGGCTCCTCCCCCCAGCTCGGCTCTCTTCCAGCCAACCCTTTACTGAATACTACGATACCCTACCCTCGGCTATCCCCCTGGCTCTCCCACTCATCTGCCCGGAGCGGGGGTTCAGCCAACACCGCTCAGCAACGAGGAGAGAGACCCTCTTCAGCCGATCCTTACCCTGGCTCCCCATAACGACCACGCCTCCGTCACGGGGTCCCCCTTAAGAACCCCTTGGGCGGCTCCTCCCCCCAGCTCGGCCCCGCCCTTGTTGCCGAAAGCGCTCTCCGAAAGCCCCATTCGTAACCCGTGACGTTTCGCCATTCTTGACCGTCAACCCGCTCGCACCTCCTTCTGTTCGCCCCCTCATTGGTTACTCACAATACTCCTCTACACAAGTAACGAATTGGCGTGTTCTGTTTACGTGACAAACGTTACTAAGTGGCTGTGTTGGGTGCTGGCGGGTTTTTACAACCCAGAATGTGTCCGATCTCATCAGATGTCTGTAGTTTAGCAGGATTGAGCCTGGATAAGCGATGGGCTGGCTGGGCAACCACCATGCACAACAAGTGTTATAAACGGAGGGGTAAATAATCTAGATTTGTGGTTTTCGTAACTGCAGGGATCCATACGCTTTGGTTCTGTCGGTAAAGTCACGTAGGTATAAAATAAAATAAATATTTGTGGGCAGCAGGATGCAGTGCAGCCAAATCTCGCGTTGTACCGCACTCGTACGCTTCCACGTTTATGCTCCTCGACCTTCACCAGCCCCCGGTGAGGTACAGTCAAACAAGCCCTACAGGCTCACACGACATTGAGAGCGGGGGGGGGCTCATTCAGCCAGTGGCTTAGTGTTTGCAGAGGCAGGGGGAGGAAGGTACACACCCCACAGCTCACGTCAACTCGTGCACATTCCAAACAACCCACACCCTTCACCTGACACTGTAAAACCCAGAGGGGATAGGGGGGGCCACACTCGTTTCCTCGCCAAACCGGAATCTCACGGCTTCGTGCCACGCTGCACTCGTGAGCAGCGATAAATGCGACATCAATGAGCAGCAACCTCCATCTTCAGTGGGGAGGCGTTTGACTTTTTTTTATGGCGAAACAGCGTTGTGAGCAAAGTGGCAAAACCCACATGCGGTAAATCACGACATACTATGTAAATTACAATACAAATTTGGAGGTTTGTCGTGTCTACGAGAGGACATATTTATTCATGAGACAGAAAGTGTTTGTTCGGTGATCGGCTGAGGTGAAAAGCAAGGTCTGGAGCCTGGATTTGAACAGAGGATTGGAGTCAACAGCATGGATTGCTGGAGGAAGGGAGGTTACAAGTCTTGAGGGCAACAAAGGGATGAATGAGTGACCTGCTGAGCGAAGGTTGACTGGGGGCTCGCTGTCTCCTTGGCTGCTGGAGTGGTGAGTTCGTGAAGGAGGGGAGCACAACGAAAGGAAAGGTTTACGAGCCCGGTTGAGTGACAAACGGGACAGCCACCACTGAACTCCCACAAAGTCACACTCAGTTTAATGACAGTGTAGAAAATTATGAACCGACTGGCATTTGAACTTGAAATATATGTGTGTTGAACTTCTTTGACACCGTACATAGCCAACCGTGCTAATCGGAGGTGTGCGGGAAGGACAGCAAACTAAACACTAAAATCAGTTTCCAAGAAATTAGTTTTCAATCTAGACTTAAAAGTGGAGGTGTTTAGTCTAGACTTAAAAGTGCGTAGCTCCAGTAGTTTCCTAATATCGGAAGGAAGAGCGTTCCAGATGGCCGCAGAAGCGCATCCGAAAGCGCAATGTCAGTGACTGTCTTTGTTCGATGGCCAGCCAAAAGCCACTGTGAAGAGGATGACCAATTCCAAACTGCAAGTAAGCGCCCTAACCAAAGCACAACGTAGTGCAATACGTCCATAGCTAACAGCGAACACATTATCAACAACTATTGATCGAGGGAAGTGTCAAACGAGGTCAGGTCTTCCCCCGCCCCCAAGGGTTCTGCGACAATGTGTGGCTACTTCCTCAATGTCTTTGCACACGTGAGAGTTACGTGGGTGGCTCGGAGATCAAGAGCGTCTGAGCTGGGAATGCTTAAAACATGTTTTTGTCGAAAAGAGGAAGCCGCCTGCCTGCCATTAAACTAAATTCTCAAGCGGAGGGAGTTGTCTCAGTCTGGTCATCGATGAGTGGCAGGGCAGGTGGGAAAGTCTTGCCCCCCCCCCACCTCCCTTCTCCCCACTACAGTGTGGACCAGATTAGACTTTCAAAGGGAGCCCTGGTTATATCTGCATCGGTGGGCCACTCTCTAACGAGAGGGTTTGCGCTGCTCAATGAGGATTCCCAAGAGGTATTCTTTAATTTCCTGACATACCACCGATAGCGCAATCTGAAATTTTTTGTAAAAAAACCACAGATTTTCACTTTTATTTGCGCTAAAAACTAGAAAATAATTACTTTGACCCCAGAATTAATCGAATCTGATGTGCTCAATAAAAGTGTGTGGCTCGCATAAAGAAAATTATACACATCGAAAGGAAGACCACCCACTTTTATTGAGCACATGAAATTTTATTAATTCCGGGGACAAAATAATGTATTTTCTACTTTTGAGTGCAAATAAAAGTATGTGCATTGAAAATCTTGTTTTTAACCAATTTTTTTTGGGTACTTGTTGCTCTCGCACAAAGGAACAAGCAAGCCACAGCGGCCCCTCCGGCGCCATGACGAGTGGCGATAGAAGCGCTCCTTTCATTGGTTACAGGCTGGCCAGCAACAGCCGCTGTGATTGGACCAGACGTTTGCCGTCGAAGGTGTGGGCGCGACCATGCGTGAATTTAAAAAGTTGGGGTGGAATGTGCAATTATTGATTAAAATGTAGTTAAAAACACGAATAGGGCCACGATGGGCGGGATCTGGACCTTTTTTTTGATGAAATCTTACATTGTCAAGCGAGGCGGCGAGTCTGTGTAGAAATTTCAGCTCTGTAGGCTTGGTAGATCCCAAGATATTACGCGTCAAAGATTCCAAAGAATAGAAACGGACAACACGGCAAGTTCAATCAAGTGTGTAATAGTAAAAAATAACTGTGGGGGGAAAAAATATAAAAAATGATATTGCTCTTGAGAGGGATGTTGGTCATCTCGTGAAGCCACCCCAACTCGACCCCTACAGTCTCCCCTCCCCGCACCACTACCACTGCTGTACGCACTCCCCAAAGACAAAGATCCCCCGTATAGCCTTAACAAACTGTTGGGGTAAGTGCTGTTGGCGAGTAGGACCTATGAAGGTCCGCACGGCACATGACGGGGTGGGTGGCCAGCACCATTCCTGGTCGGCTGGCCTGCTGCCTTTGTCTCCCCAGTAGCAATGTTTACACACCACACCAGGCACTCATTTGAGGCCGAGTCGACCTAGGGGAGGCCCATGACCGGGTCAGATAATCGTCACTGGTGTTGGCCGTGAGTCGGCAGGCATCGAACTCGGATCGCAGGGTTCGTAGCGCAGCGCACTAACTGTTATGCTACTGCTCCCGACGCACTTTCCCACCCCTTCCACAAACCCCAAAACTACTAAAACCAGCTCAACACCACGTCTGGGGGAGGGGACAGAGCCTAAACCGAAAGAGGTGGGGCCTACAGAAGAAGGGGTGGGGCCTACAAAGGAAAGGCGCAAAGCCGGAAGAGGAAGAGATGGGGGCCCCATATCAGAAAGGGTTGGGGCCTAAGAAGTAAGAGGGTAGGGCATAAAGATGGGTCGGGTCCTACAGAGGAAGGGGTAGGGCCTACAGAGGTTGCATTTCACTGTTGATTTAAGATAATAAAAGCATAGAATTAAATACGCGCGGCAGGCAGCATACTTCTAATGATACAGATGTGGCCCACAGGCCAACTAGTATTTTTTTATTGCATTTGAAAAAGAGACCCAAGTGGTTAGATAAAACGCGGCGCCATTCCAATTGAAGATAACTCACATTGGTTGGTCTGTATCGCCAGTCTTTCCTGCTGCACCGGCTGTTGTGGTTGAAGCTGCTGCTGTTGCTGCTGCTCTTCACTGCACCTGTGCCCAAATCGGATGACCCTGGTGGGAATGGTGCTTCCCTCGTTGCCCACGGATCCTTCCATGGCACCGAGACGATGCACCGACAGTGACAGCTCGCGGCTCAGGCCGCTGAACAGCATGACCAGCACATCCACGAGGCTGCTTAGCACAGCGTCCACGCCATGGAATGCCTCCATAGACGGTGTCCCACCGTCGTGGGGCTCGGCGCCCTGCAGGGCCTTCACCACCTGCCGCAGCACGGCGTAGAAGCCGAAGGGCAGGCGGTCGCGCGCCGCGGCCAGCAGCTCGGCACGCACGAGGCCATCCCCGACGCAGGCGCGCAGGACCCCGTAGTCCCGGATGCCCAGCTCAGAGTCCATGGCCCGGGCCACCTCCGCGTTCACGCCCTGCGCCTCCAGCCACGCCGGGAAGTCCCCACTCGCCTCCAGCACCGGGGTGGACACCGTGCAAAACATTCCGCCGCCCCCCCCCCACCCCAGTGGAAGTTTTCAGTAGAAGTTTTAACCCTTTTCGACTTTGCCAATGTCCCACACGACCAAAGCTGGAATTGAAGTGCAGAACAACAACACATTAATCCATCCCAGAAGAATTCCCTCATCAAGACTCTATATCATAGAGCCCAATGCATCTCCGACCATGAACACATTTCCAGTGAACTCAAACACGTACGCCAAGCTCTTAAGGCAAATGGTTACTCCGACTATACAATCCGCAAAGCCATCACTCCAACCATCAAGAAGGATCCTGTTGAGGAGCCTTTCAAGACCATCACCTTACCCTACATTGCTGGGGTCACAAAAAAGATCTCCAAAATCCTGATTAAACACAAGATCCAGGTCCGATTCAACACAGTACATAAAATCCGTGATCTGGTACCGTCTGTAAAAGATGTGGTTCCAGACATACAGTACCCTGGCGTCTACAAACTAAGTTGCCTCTGTGGTAGCAGTTACATTGGTGAAACCAAACGACATGTCTCGGACCGCATCCGTGAACATAAAGCTGACCTGAAACACGGTAGGACTAACACCTCAGCCGTGGCAGATCACTGTTACAACTCAGTGGGCTCACATGATATTGACTTCGCCAAGACAGAGGTTCTCTGCAAGCCATCTGGCTATCATGAGAGATTCGTTCATGAGGCGATCCACATATACAAACACAGAGAAAATTTTAACCGAGAAGATGGATTCTGGCTCAGCAATCATTGGAAGGACGTAATAAACCATTTCGATACACATTAGGGTGTGTAGAATAATACATAGTGTGATATTAAATGTATAAGATATAGGTTGGTTTACAGCAATACAGTATATAATTTAATGTTGGGTTTATCTATGGCAGTATATAGTACGGTATATGCTCGTGTGATGTAAGAGAATAAGGTTTAGATGGAAGCATATTATAGAATTTTTACGAGGTAAAATTGTAATGTATTACTTGCTGTTAGTAACTCAGCTTATTATAGAGTATAGTAAGTATACTGATGGTGCGATGCAGTTTATACTTTAGTTTTTTATATGTAGTTTATACTTTAGTTTTCTACGTGGTTGTTGAGTAATTGCAGCTACATATCATTAACATTCCTTTCCTTTGTTACTGCTAATCCCTAACCCCCCTTGGTTGCTGCTGATCCTGCATAATGCATGGGCATAATATGACTTTGACACCCCCCCGCCCAACGCCTACGCATTTTCCATGAATATGCTAAATCCCTCTTCACATGCACATTCTTTTTGTTAAGGCGCTCTTCAACCCCCAATGCAGCTTATATATAAGCTCCTAGTTTGGTAGTGTCTCATTCTTCACCTGAAGACGGCTGCTTGCGTTGTAGCCGAAACGTCGTGAGAATTGTTTTATTATGTTTTATTTTTATTATTTTATTACTTCCCTTCTACGTGACTTTACCGAAAGAAACAAGAAGAGAATGCTTCTTACAAACATCACAGTAAGGCAAGCTGCCCATGCAACAAGCACGACACGTGCAACAGTGTTCATCATTGTGTCCTGAAAAAAGACCAGCAGACATTGGCTGTGTTGTGAAATGTGCAGGAAACGCTCCTGACCATACCAGCATCACTCACCTGGGCTGCACAGGAACACTCGCCTGTGTGACAAACAGACACAAAACACACATACACACTCGTACTCAGACTAACCACACACACACACACACTTGTGTCACTAATTCACATGAACCACTAACTCGGGTAGTTTTTCCTCTTTACAAGAAGCGATCGAGCTTATTGTAACAATAACCAGGGCATTTCCCCTCAAGTGTGTCGGGAGAGGTCCCGGCAAGGATTATGCAACATTGTGGTTTCGGGCAGGGGCGGTACAAGACAATTTGCAATATTCTCCCTCTATTATAACTATCAACAGGAACACACTCTATTTACCACAAAGTGGCAGCGATATCATCACAGCACTTGTGCCAGGCTAGGTGCAACTGTGAGGCCACGTGAAGTCAGAATCAGAATATATATTTGTACTGGAAGAATCCGATGAGCTAGAAAGCTCTTTTGTCACAGATGTCCAGTGTAAGTCTCTTCTTCCTTCTCCTCGAGGCTTGTGTGTGTGCGGGTGGCGTGTGTCACGCACACACTCAGTCGGAGACAAGGTAGTCGTAGGAGGCACCGTCCTTCCCTTTTATTGTGCTCATGCCACCAACTTCCGGCCCCCTCTCTCACGACCACGCTGCCGTACGACCCGGCCCAGACACGACCTTGTCCGCGTTGCGTCGACCGAGACAGCCAACTATTGTCCGGCCGCGCAATGATCGGGCGAAGGCGGCAGCGACGAAGGCGACAGCGATGAAGAGACGAGTCCACTCCCATAACCGGCAGCCCGGAGCCTTTGCTCTCCGCTGCTTTTATTCCCCTCGGTGCGGCTTGGCTCCGCCTTAGCCATGCCTCCCTTCTCGAAGCCACCAGAGGGTTCCAGGGGCCTCCCCAGAAGGTCTATCATGACCCTTGCCCCAGTTACTCTGCCCTGCCGGCACATCCGTGTATATGTTCAACGAAGTGTTCTCCAAGTGTCTACCAGCAGTTGCAGCTGCTGTACAACAGTCAGCACTGTGTCACTACATAAGTATTGAAGGCTTGCTGGCAGGTCACAATAGTCTCAGGTGTCACAAGTAAAATGTCCTAGATGCACCACCACCTGCACACCCCAATTTTGATACCTTGCCATGTTTTATCCACCCGACCCTCTGCTGGAGGGCAACTACGTCCAATTTCCCAGCAGCATCTTTTTATAAGCCTCATCCACACAAGGTCAACCTTGACATCACTGGTACCAGTCAATGGTAAGTCCACACATCTCCAGGTCAACGGGCACCACATCAGCCCATCTTCCTTTCTAGCCCATACTGTCAACTTAGCCCCCCCCCCCCTCTATCTGGCGAAACAAAAAGCTATTTTGGAATGCTATTGCTGGGCAAGTGGGCTACATGAATCAGCCACAACATGGCTCCATGGTATGTCCCCTGGTGAAATGGCGTTCTGGCATGTTCATCACTCATTGCAGAGATGGACGGTTCGGATCCACCAGCCGCCCTGATTAATTTAATACCCATTTTTCACAAACACTTTCTGCTTCAAAGCAGACATCAAAGATTCAGTCGTATCAGTTGGCAAGAGCAGACCATTTGTGTGCCGAGGTCATAGTCCAAGTTTGCAAAATTTGATAAATTACCCGCAAAATACTAATTGGGTTTATATATCGCAATCATCACTGCCGACAGAGAAGACTTGGCAAAACTCTCCTAAAAAAAGTCATGAGGCTCGCCTGGGTAAACACATATGATAATTGGAATAACACATCCTCTTCTGCCGGAGAAGCTCACTCATGGGACAACGTCCGTATCTTTAAAAGATCGACAAAAGGCTTCGCACAATCCACTCCAGATGAACCCAGGATGGACTGTGGGAACGCAGGCAGGAATGTTGTGTTTATGTAAAGGGGTCAGTGTTTCATAAGCGTAGGGACGGATAGGGTGCGATTGTGGCCAAAAAGACCCATCAGTTTGTGTTGAGTGACAAGACCACAATGTTCCGCAACTGATAAAAATGTCACTTGACTGATTCACAGTGAGAGTTCTGCTGTCAAACCGGAGCTGGTTATGAGCACTGTCTGGGTATGGATACTTCTTCACCTTCTACACTACCTCACCACTCAAAGAGTGGGGCTGATAGTAAGGCACTGCGTCTTTGTGGCGAGCCACAGCTTCAGCAGCAGAGTCTCCAACACATTCTCAGCAAGTACCAAGTCATCGGCATACTTAACATGGTTGACCAGTAGGGAGCCATCCCTAGACTTCACCTGAGGCATTGATCAGCCTGCCATCTGTACCAGTGGAAGTTCCACTGGTACAGATGAAAGTTGCACCGGCACAGACATGGTAAGCTTGTCAAACTATACGGTCAGAAAATTTGTTAAATAGTAGAAGGGCCAGAGGACGTTTCTGTCACAAACCAGAGTGAAGAGGGAAGATCTGTAAACTGGCAGCCATTTAAGCTTTACCAAGATCAGCCCACCATCATGAAGATCCTTAATGATCAGGGACCCGACAAGCATGAAGAACCCAAAGGTCTGACCCTTGATGGTATCATAGGCCTTGGTGAGGTCAATCAAGCTGTAGGCCCTGTTGAACTTCCCTAGCACTCTGCTGTAGAGCATGTGGACAGAGAATTTGGCACCCATGCAGGACCAACCCTCTGTGAAAAATCACACAATGAGGCCCCGCAAAGCTTCTGTGTGCCTCGCAAGATGATGCTGGGTGACACTTAGCAAGACTTTCCCTGACATATTTAAGCAGGGCGATATCCGGATAGCTGTTACAATAAGCACGGGTTCCCCTTCTTATAAATGGGGCACAACTACAGCATCCTCTCAATCCTGCAGAACTCAGCCAGTTGTCCAATAATTTACAGGAATATTAAGGTAAAGCAGACTGCACACAATCACGACCTTCTCCTAGAACAATGCTTGGGAGACATTGCTCTCCAGTGATTTACTCTGTGGTTTCAGGCTCTCGATCGCTCTTCACACCGCTTCAGCAGATGGCACATCAATCGAGTAACTCGTGAGCTGAAGTTGGCTAGCTACTCCAACCTTTATGGCTCCACAACCATCAGTCAGGCCACCCTTGTCCCATTGCTATTTGGGGTTCTTCTCCCCCCATCCTCTGCCCTAAGTCCTCATAAATTTGTTTAGAAAATCTGCACACCTACTCCGGCGGGAATCCTGAAGCTCATCCACATTTCCTCTTGGTATCAGATGCCAATCCCTACTGTAAGCGTTGTTCAAATTCTCACTTGCAATTTACAGAAGCTGAGACCACGGTATCTTGGAATTTAGATGGGATCCAGGGTGGGATGCGCACCGCCACAGTAAAATAATGGTGTCAAGCCGATGATGGTCAATTGTCAGATCACCTCAATGGTATAGGTCCTGGTGTCAAGGACATGGCTACACATTCACCGTTCCGCCATTACATAGTCCAGCAGATGTTCTTGCTCGGACACGGCATGGATCCAA